ATCCGGTTCTTTGATCTTTAAAATAGTTTTAGAATTTTCCTCCATCGAATGTGTACCCGAAGATTTGTTGTATTTAGTACACAAGTCTGTTTGGAAGATTGTTGTAGGAATACAGTTTTTTTCTGTTTACAACAGCTTTGATATGTTTAAGAATATCCATACCAATTAATCCATCGAATAGTGAATGGAAATTTACAGTAATGGTGAAAATATAGTGTTGTCGTTGAACTCCGCGATAGGGGAATATGGGTTTTGCATTTTTTTGGTTGTACGTTCAGTGCTGTTTTGATGGAAATTGGGTAGGGTAATTTTATTTGATCTCTATTGTAAATTACTAGTGGTCTTATAAAGGAACGTTCGGCTCCCATGTCTGTCAAAAATTTTAATGCGCTCTTTCTTCCTACGTTAATAGCGATACAAGGGAAAATTGTCCCATAAGCTTTATTTAAGTAGACCGTCGGTTCTTCGAGGCTTTCTGCCGAAAAATTGCATCATCGTTAATGTTATGTAATTCTATTTGCTGGTCACTGTCTTGGACTTCTTCAAAATTTTGTAGGTCTTTTTTGTTCTTGTCGTTGTAGCATCTTTTGTATTGCTGTCTTTCTTCTTTTGGCATAATAGCCGGCATATTCCTTCTTGGTTCCCTGTATTGGTTGTAATATCGTTGGTCAGGGCTTCGTGTATTATTTATCATTGTGTTGTTGTCAGGGCGGTTAAAATCGTTCCTTTGGTTATAATTTGACGTTCGTGGTTTGTCAGTGAATAGTCCTCTTTCCTGTTTCTTCCTATTTTCTAGGTAATATATTTCCCTTTTTTTGATAGCTGCTTCGTACGCTTCTTGTAGTGTTTTGGGGTTCATAGCCTTAATAGTTGGCCCTAGTGGTCCTCTGATCCCTCTTAGGAATTCATTGAGACATAAGTCTTTAACTAGCTCCTTTTTTGTTTTAATACGTGTCGGTTCAGTTTCTTTGGCTTCGGTGAGTCGAAATAATGTCAGTTTTAGTTCGGTGATCTGTTCGTACAATCTTTGAATTGATAGCCCTTTCGTCGATAGCCTATGTAATTCGTACATGAGAGTTGGTTCGTCTCTTTTATCAGAGAAATGCCATATAAGAACTTCTTTAATCTCGTCCCAACTCAAGGTAGCACCTGCAGCATTAACTGCATCATTTGCTTTACCTTCGATCTTGTTTCTAATCGCTCTAAGAAGCACTTTACCATACGGTGTTTGGTCGGTGCCTCTAATAAGGAGGAGAATTTCTTCGACGTTGCTTATAAAATCTGACAGAGTTTTTGAATTTCCATCGTAAGACGGAAGAAATCTGATTGCATCGGGGATCCTCATGGATGCAAAAAAATCTATTGGGCTAATCATATTGGCGTTTTGATTTGGTGGGGGGGAACTTGATGTTGAAGTCATGCTGAGTGGATGTTCTAACCAAGAGATTTCCTGCCCTGTCTGCTCTACTATCTCTCAGGTATTGTTAGTTTTTGATTAGTTTGATTCTATCTTCTGGTCTTTGGGATGAGTAAGTGACTGTAGTGTAATATTGTGTGAGTGTGTGTTGTATCTTATGTATATTTTGTAAATGTAGTTTTGAAAGTGTATACTTTAAGAGGTCTATTCAAATTTCAAGTGCCTTAAAAACTATTTAATTGTATGTGTGTGTGGCAAAACTATTATGCTGATCGCTGTGTATGGTGATATTTGATATGTGTACCTTGCGTAGGTGTTGTGCTCGAAGAGTGCGGCGTTGCTGTGTAAGTCGATATTCAATCTGTGTTGCCTTGATTGCCTGTGTACTGGAAGTCCTAAGGATCCCAATTGTATCTGTAAAGAATTACTTTTATTATTTCTTCTATTTCTTATTTCTGTGTTTCTTTGAAATGGGGCTTTGAATTAAATGTCCCCCCTTTTTTTTTGTTTAATTTTTTACTCTGTTGTCGAGGGATAGGGCAATGAATTTAGTCTCCCACTTTTAATTTATTTGACTCATTTTGTATTTTTTTTCTTAAGATCGGGCAATGAATTTAGTTTCCTTTTTTTATTCTTAAACTCATTTTTCGTGTTCAGTTCGGACAATGAATTTAGTTGACGAATGATTGAATGGATATGCCAACAAATTGGTTCGAATGACTTGTTCGTATCCATCGTGTTTGCTCAGCCGGTCGCGTTGGACTGCGTTATGGGCGTACCGAACGAACGTTACCCTGGCTGACGTGTTTGAGCACACTTTGGGCTATCTCACTAACACAACACCAACAACACTTAAATTCAGCAGATTTAATTAATTTATTTTATGCATTTCTTAATATTTATTACCCCTCTTGTACTCTTTGTATATTTTACTGCTTCTAAGGGTCTTTCATATTTTCATTCACTCTTCTCTTGAACATACAATATTTTTGGGATTCTTTTTAATTTTTTTGTTTTTCATACATTTAAGTTTTCTTTGCATTCTTTCACTTTGTTTTCTTTTCTTTTTGTTTCTAACTTACAAATGTAACCATAATTTTATATCCATTGGTTCTGTCAAAATTATTTTTGACTCCGTTCGACTACGCCAGTTATAGTTGGGAGTTCCTGTGTAGGAGCAGGATGTTCCAGGATTACCAATAAATAAGCTTTGTATAAATGTTAAGTGCAAACAAATTTATTTCAAACTCAATCTCTTTGGTTTGACTTCTCAATTAAGACTGACTGCAAGACCTTTGTCTTGCCGTTCTTGTTATTGTTGCTGGTCTTCCTCTGTCGACGTCGCTGCCTCTGTATTTCCGAGAATTGTTTATGTACCATTCTTGGACGATGAGCTCTTGACTGCCGCAATCACATCCTCCCTAGTGCTGACGCCTGTGTTTATGCAAGTGTAATTCCATGCGACAATGTGCTACATACAAGCCCAATCGTGTGGTCTTAGCGGGGGGAACGTCGAGGGGTGTCGAGGCGGCTAGCGCCGTCTGCCGGAGGAGAACCATACTGACTAAGTATAGGGTATAAATGTAGACTTGCGGTCGCAGCAGCAACTCGCAACGGTCCCCCTTCCTTGCAATGGCAATTTCCACAGTAGGGTCTGGCTTTGCAGCGACTCGAAACTGCAAAAGGGCAGCACGACGATTGTAAGCGGCTTGTAGCTGATTTAAAACGAAAAAGAAGTGATTCTTAAACTGTAAGGTATTGGCATTTAAAGTCTCTGTTACAGCGGGTTTAGAGTAAGGTGCTTTAAAACTGTAATCGCGGCAAATTTAAACATTAGCTCCCTCTGTGGGTGGTCTAGGCCTGGTTGCGTTGGGGGAGAAAAAAGGATAAAGCGTTGATATTTGAACGTCACTTGGCTGATCCGACAGGGTCCTATCAGCTGGAGTCAAAATGAAATTTTAAAATTAAAATGGGTTACAGCAGCAGGATGGTGACAAAATCTTTTTGTTTAAGACCCAAAGTATTTTTGCGACTATTGGAAGAACAGCTGGTTCGACGCACACAAAAATCAAGAGAGTTCCATTAGTCTAGAGTTTAGACCTTCGAGTGCAGTCGGATCGACGTCGTCTTCAACAAAGACTTGTGAAGCCTAAGCGAAAAGCGAAAATTTAATTTCCAAAGGACGGCTCAATTTGTACTATTTTTTTTTCGAGGAGTTCTTAAAAATTAAAATTGCCTCATTTTGACCTCTGTGCCTCGCCATAACTGTAAAAGTGTGCTGAAAGGGTAGAAAATTTCGAGTGTCGTGCGTTCCAATTAGGAGCATTGTCATATGTTCAAATTGTGCCTGTGGAATTTCGGCCCGATGAAAGTGCAAGTGCAATGCTCCAAGAAGGCAGAGGCAAAGACTAGTGGAGCCAAAGACCATCACGAAAAACAGAGATAGAGTCTACGAAGGAGAGAGAGGTCGTTTAAGTCTGTGAAAGAAGAGCCAAAGAGTGAAGAAGAAGAGTGATCCTATGGTATCACGAATATGAAAGGAGAAAATACCAGAAGAACAAACAGTTTTACATACGAGTATATTTGAAAAATGAAGCTATGATCAAAAGAATAGGAGAGTGGAAAGTGGCACGGTAATAAAAGAAAAGTTAAAGAAAGAAGATAAAGATTTACCCAAACATTAAAATAAACGCACTCAATTTATAAGAATAACAATTACAACATCTTGCAGCAGCCATCTGAACGATGTGCAGATGGTGTTTTTGTAGGACGCACTTGTGACATTTCTATTGTAATGATATTTTATACTTTAATAGACTTTAGATACAGGGACTCTAATAGCTACATAATTTCTATACATTTTGTATTCGTTAATTTGTGTCAGGGCTTCCCCAGTGGGAGTGACAGTGCTTTGCATTGACGTCGCACCCTACACCTCGGTTTCCGAGAATACAGGGTTCCTGAATGAGGACTATGTCGGCTCCACCTTTGGCTAGGTGGAGCAGGAGAGCAGCGCATGATGGTGGAGGTTTATCAGCAGGATGTCGTCCGACATCACGAACGATACATCCGACGCCATTTTGACCTACGCTCTTGGGGCCTCCCCTTTCGAATTTCCGGCAGCTTCGGATCTATCTCGACCTCCGGTTGCCTGCCTGTGGAACTTGTAAGGGGATGTGGTCACTTTCTTGCAGCCGCAATCCACTGCTCCGTCAGACTCCTCATTTACGATGAGGATGACATCCTCCACCCTGGCCACCTTCCAATCGGTTGTAGGAAGGTGGGGATTGCAGACCTGCAGTATCCTAAGGATCTTCTCCGGCCTTGCAGACTTGCTGGCTGAGCGTTGTCGCTTACTTGTGCTACCACGACCTTGTTACCAGCCGACCTCACGGTAATTTTGAAGTTTTTAAAGGCGTTAAGGCCTAAAAGTGATGTACATGTACATTATGTACTTATAGGATTCTCCGATCCACATCTGCCAAGCAGAAAGGTTCCATACCCATGTGCCATTTGCCTGTCTCAATGATTTCTTAGAGGAAGAACCGGTCTTTGTGTTTAAGCATTCGATTTATGTACATATGTATTTCAATAATAATACTGTGAGTGTAACGTGCAATGTGGATTATTCTAGTTGTTATTTTGTTCTTGTGTTAAAATTCATTTAAAATGTTCTCTTTTAAGCTCTATCTTAGGGGCTAGGCTAATTTTAGTGATAATTTAAAGACAATGACCAGAAAGGATACGCACAGTACCCTAGAATAATCGTATATATCCGATATCTCGAACATGCTGGATGGTATATGATTTAATTGCAATTCAATTGAAATTCTAATCCATTCTTCGCTTCGGTATCTTTCTTGCGGGTGAACTGGGAGAGCAAGTCACTGAAGTGTGGCTTCTGTCGTTGGATCACCTCGTTGGGGTGCTTCTTGAAATCTATGTGCTGCACCAGATGAGATTTTCTCGAGAAGCCTATGCCGCAGACACTGCAGATGTAGGGCTTACGGGTACTGTGGACATAGAGGTGAGAGTTTCGGTTCTCAAGCCGGCCAAACTGTTTCCCACAGATGTGGCAGCAGTAGGCTTTGATGCTGCTATGGTCCAGCATGTGCTTTTTGAGGTAGGTCGGGTGCGAGAAGCTGGCACCGCACTGCTCGCAGACAAGGTCGCGCAGCTTCTGGTGCACAGTCTTGAGATGCTGTTGGAGCAGCCGCCGGCGGGTGAAACGTCTGTCGGGACAATTAGGGCACTGGTGCAGGGCCTCTTTAAGGTGCTTGGTCCGAATGTGGGCGCTAAGGTTGCTGTTCTGAGCGAAACGAGCCCCGCAATCGGAGCACTCGTACGGCCGGTCGCCGGTGTGGGTGTGCAGATGATCATCGAGCCAGCGGCGTCGCTTGAACTCTTTGCCACACTCCTCGCACGGGAAAATGGACTGCGGCGGACGAATATCCCTTCGCGTTCGCTGATGAATGCGTCGGTGAGCGATGAGCTTCTCGTGACTGGTGAACCGCAGAGGACAACGTGTGCATACCCAGGGCAGGTGGCATGGTGTAACGGAAGGTTCTGGTCTACACTCTCCAGGCTCTAATTCTTCCACTTCTTGCTCTATCATCCAGTCTTCAGGGTCATCCACAGCCTGCTCTGCTTCGTCCTGATGCACCGTCATATCTGCCAACTCTTCTTCGGGTTCTTCTATTATTATTGAGTTGACCCACTCCTGCTCAGAGTCTTTGGACTCCTCACACTCTTCTATCACTGAGTCCCAGTCAAAACTGACATCCTCCAGCGTTTCCATAGCCATTTTTGTTTAGTAATGAGATCCAACAAATATAAAAATAGTTTTTTCGCGTCGCCAAAAGCGTTGCCACATAAGGATTTGGCCAATGCACTAACGCTTCACGCAAAAGGGCTGCCAGATAGCGTTAGTGGAGTAAAACGCACTAGCGCTTTGCTCAAAAATGCGCAAAACTACAAAAAACGTTACTGCTTTATTTAAATTGATTGTTATGCTAAAAAGTGCCCCAATGTGTGCTAGAAAGAACAGAAGACGTTAAACGTTTTGTATTTTAATCAATTGTTATGCAATTTATTCATACGCTATGTAAATATAATTTGTTCACAACTGTTATATAATTACTTTCATTTGTTGGTTTTTTCTTTTTTTGATTTTAAAGCGGCTGCTTTCAACAATTGTTTGGTTTTGTTTTTTTTTCGATTCGTTTTCAATAAATCAATCAATGAATACATCATTACTGTATAATTCACACATTTTGGTTTCTTGGTTTTTCTTCTTAGATGATTCGAGAGAGGCTTGTATTCGTATGTGTGTGTGTGTAAAATTGTAATTCCGTTAACTACAACTACAGAGATGCCTCGAAAACAGACATATACACGAGATCTATCCATTCGTGTATCTTGTTGCGTCAAGGTCTTTTTTTGCTTTTAGAAATGTTAACAAATTTACAGACTTATATTTGGATTACCGTAATCATGTATTTATATGTGTATATATATATACTATATATTATTTATATATGTATAGATGCATTATATAATATGCACTGAAATGATTCAACAGGATCTGCTGGGTTGTTCTTTTTCACAAATCGCTCTGTAGGGGGGAGGAATGGTGGATGATGGATGGGACGTGAAGGGATAATAATGATAGGATAACACTTCTGTGTGTGAGTTGGGGGTGTGTAAAAACCGATTTCTCTAAAATTTGTCTTACTTTCTCGTTTACTTTAGATACGATTTGGGACTATGCTATCCTTATCCCACACATCATTGCAATATCATTTATTAAGATTCTCCTCTTCTTTCGTTAAAGTAAGAAAAAAAAAGTGCACTAGTTTCCCGTTTTGGTATGGCTTAAACATCGTCAAAGCACCCGTTTTTTGTTTACACACTGCTTATATCCTATAATATATATCCATCCCGTCCTGTATTATATACGATCCGTGTATAATTGCATTTTATTTAGTTTGTATTTAAGAATTAATCCCACATTCCGCGCTTTCGATTATTTTGTGTGTGTAGAATGTAAGTTTTTAAATGCTACAAGTAAATGCCTGCCTGCCTGCAAATTATTTGGTATTTCCTCCGTCTGTTCCTCCATTTTAAATCTACATACTTTGGCCTTATCCGCTAGGAGTCAATACACTACTCGTACACTACACTAGACTATACTACACTACACTACATACTTTCTGAAACATTTTGCAATGGAAAAACGGGAAGCGAAAAACGCTCACACACACGCATGGTTCGTGGGAGGATGGATCCGCAGGGCGAGGGAGCGACAGAGAGATAGTGATTAGGTGGAGGAGAAGGGAGGAGAGAATGGCCGTTGGTTGGATGGCGCATGAGACATAAGATAGTGAGAGAGGATAACAGTTGGACGCTAGCCCGCTCGCTGGCTGGCATGTGTGTGCACATTTTTCTTTCCCTTTTCTTCACTTTTGCTCTTCAATTCGCTATATATGTATGTACTTGTGTGTATGTATATGGATTTTGTGCGAGTGTGTATGCATTTGTGTGTTTTGTTCTTTAATTGCAATTTCTGTAAAATGTGTATATTTTTAATATTCCATACATTCAATACATATATTTTTCGTATATAAAAAAGAGCATTTTTCATTTAGTTTAACGCCTAGCAGGGATTTTCCATTTCATTTAATTTCCTCTCTCTCGCTTCTATTCGTTTGATTTCATTTCGTTTCGTTCGTGCTCCTTCTTCTTCTCCCTTATCCTTCTCTTTCCGGCTTAAATGCAGTTATTGACCTGAACAATTGGTTTATCTTTTGTGTATGGTTTTCTTTGTTGATTGATTAATTAGTTAATGATTTTTTTATATAGTACTATACTATATGTGTGTATACATATGTATGTATGTATATACGTATCTGTATGTAAGTATTTCTGTGTGTATGCATGAGTTTTATGTATGTAGTATGTATGTATATATTTCTATGTATTCTTTTTGTTTATTATTATTTCATTTTGGAATTCTCGTTAAAATAGTTGAACATTCTTTTTCCTCCTGCTATTTCTGTCGTATATTCGTATTCGTATTGCTCCGTTTTTTCAGAAGTTAACTGTTACTGTTATTTTCTTTTGTTAAAATTTAAAACTTTTCCTATGTTGCGTTGAGTTTTATCAAGTTTTAAATATTAATATGTATTATAATTTTATTTTGTGAAATGTTTTCTGGTTTTGACTTTCCTTATTCACGGTTTTTTGTTTTTCGTTTTTTGTTTGGTGTTCGCTTGTTTTTTTGTTTTTGCATTTGGTTTCCTTTTGTTTTTTTTTTTTTTGCTTTAGATTTCTGACGTCACAAAAATTTCTACGTACGTGTCGCTGTTGGTGTTGTTGTTGTTGGTGGTGGTGGTTCTCGCAACGGATTCTCAAATAATATAAGTGATAATCCACAAAACAAACCAAAAATTAAAAGTTCTGTCGTCGGTTGGGAAGGAATAGTCGGAAGGGAACGAGCTGAGAGGGGGGGAGGAGGAGCTGAGAGGCTCGATCATTGGAGTTCTTCTTATTTTCTTTGAGGGCTTCCCAATGGGCCGAGCCTCGGCTGTGGTTGTTGGAAAGAACACTGGGGCTCTTCCATATAATTTAGTTTAAAATTACATTTGAAAAATTAGTTCATCAGATTATACAGCAGAGGTCACACGCAGAATTTTCATGATGCCTCTCAATAAAAAAAAAACAATCTAGCATTGCACCTTCCTTATTAAAAAAAAAAGAAAAAAGAAATAAACATCTTCTCAGTCTGTTGAGCACTTTTTTTTGTACAGATTTAAATTTGCGCAGAACAAATCAGAAAAATGAAGCCGAGCAATGGATAGCCCGAGGCCACACGATATTTGTACATAGGACGCTGCCTACCTCTGCTGCAAAGTCTCAAAATACCAGAGACAGTTCCTAAATGTCAAGCCTCTTCCCCACCTCTCCTCCACAGCTCTTCTTCTAGAGGGTATGTCAGGGGTCAAGGGTCACTACAATATCCTCGTAAATAAATAATTTGGCTCTTACACACTAAGGACTCGCGCTAAACATAGGCATACATACTACGTATATCGTACATAATAGGGGGGAGGGGTGTTATAAAAAAATTAGGGGACATTACATAGTCGGTTAATTATAGTACAGTACGGTTAATAATAATAATAACAATAGGCAACAACACAGAGCAGAGAACTGATGTATGTATGTGTGTTTTTTGTGTCTTGGGTGTGTATGTGTTTGTGTTTTACAGTTACAGTTACAGCTACAGTGTTGCATCAATGGGATGAGTCTGTATGCATAGGTCTGTATTTTGTGGACGCCACTGTATGTCTCTCAGGTGTTCCTACATGGATGCATGCATCTGTCTCTCAGGTGTTCAGAGACACACACAGAGAGAGAGAGAGAGAAAGAGAGAGACAGAGATAGAGTCGTAGTGGGAATGACAGGGGGTGTTAGACAGAGACAGACTTAAGTTAAACAAATTTTTGCTTTGGAATGGCTATTGGGAGCAGCAGAATCGGAATCGTTTTTCCACTGATTTCAGGCGTTCCTCCTTGGGGGCTCTCTAATCGAAAGAATCCGCAACGCTTCCTGGACCGCCCTCCGCCTCAACGCGTTCGTCGCCTGGAGCCGCCCCTGCCACCGTCTGGCGGGCGCGGAGTGGACAATTTTTATGACGTCTCTAAAAATCATACTTTAAAGGTTTTCTCCCGCCGCTGCTGCTGTTGCTGCTGCTGTTGTTGTTGCTGCTGCTGCTGGTGGTGGTGGCCACGATGGGATGTTGGCTGCTGCTGTTGGTGCTGGTGCTGGGAACCATTGGCGGGGAGCACACTCATGGAGCCAGCGCCACACATGGCCACCGCCGCTGCTGCCGCCGCCTCCTCGCAGGCATAGCTGGCTATACGATGATCGCTGCGCGATCGCTCCCTGTCATGGCTGCGATGGCTGTGATGGTGCTCCGCTGCAGCCGCCGCCGCTGCCACTGCTGCAGCGGCAAGGCCTGCTCCACCGTTGCGCTTGCTGGGCGCCGCCTGCTGCTGGGAGCGCCGGTTGCCCAGACGCTTCAGCTCGTAGTCCCGGGCATCGGCCACGTCGAAGGTGGCCGCCCTCTGCTGCTGCTTCGAGTGCTTTGACGAGGAGGAGGTGGTGGCTGCTGCAGGGACGGGGCCTGGAGGCGCCTGTTGTTCATATGGCTGCGGGAAGTACTCGTCGTACTCGTGCTCCTCGCATAGGTTTGCATTACAGGCGGTTTGGGAGGGTGGCTGCTGCTGCTGTTGGGCATGGCTCGAGCGGTGCTTCTTGGGGGGCAGGGGAATGGGCGCCTGCGCCGACTGCTGCGTCTGGGTCTGAGTGCTGGCTACCGCCGCCGCTGCGTGCAGCGACGTTGATGATGTGCCCCGTCGCACAACATCAACGCCGCCGCCGCAGCAGGCGCACTCCTACAACTCCGTCACGGAGTAGAGGTCGCTGCTGGCATGGGCGGCATGCGCGGCATGGGCGTGCGCGTGTGCATGGCTGGAGTGTGTCCCATGGGTGGCCGGACCAGTGCCGCCGCCGGCTCCTGCCCCTCCTCCACCTACTCCTCGTTCGCCGCGTTTCAGAGAGCGATAGAAGAGCGCCTGCTGCTGTTCGATGAGCAGCTGCTGCTGCTGCTGTTGCTGCTGTTTAGAGGAGCTTCCTCCACCAGGTCCCCCTCCTCCCTGATAGTTGTTGTTGTGCTGGCGCTGGTAGAAGGCCGCCTGCTGCTGAGCCTGCTGTTGAAGCTGCTGCTGCTGCTGGTGGTGATGGTACGTACTGCTGCTGTCGTACGAATGCTGCTTCTTCATTCCGACGAGCACCTGGCCTCCGTATTGCTGCTGCTCCACATAGCTGCGGGCATTGTCCAGCGTCTCTGCACGACGCGGCCGCTCTCTGTCACGCTCACGCTCTTTCTCCCGCTCACGCTCACGCTCTCTGTCGCGGTCGCGGTCCCTCTCTCGCTCCCTCTCGTAGCCGCCTGTCTGTTGCTGCTGCTGCCGTAGGCTGGCGGACTTTGGTGGCAGGGTCTGCATGTGGTTGGCATTGCTGGAGTCTCCACCGCCTCCGGCCCTTGACGTCTTGTGCCTGTTCTTCGGCGGCAGGGAAGGCGGCTGCTGCTGTTGCTGTTGTGGCTGGGAGGCAGCGGCCGATATCTTGTGGTTCTGGGGCCGCTGCAACGAGCGGTACTGGCCCAGACTGGCGGCGCACAGCGGCTGGGCGGATATCTTCGACTGGGTGGGCGACTGCGTTGGTATCTCCGGCAGCGGCTGGTTCACAATCGAGGCCGGATTGAGGCTACGCTGTACCACCCGAGGCGCTGCCGTCGGCACTTCGCTGCTCTCGATGCTGTAGACGGCCGAGGGCGGCAGTATGTGGGTCGTCGGTGGATGAATCAGCTGCTGCTGTTGCTGTTGCTGCTGCTGGAGTGCCAAAAGCTGCTGCTGTTGCTGCTGCTGGAGGGCCAGGAGCTGCTGTTGCTGTTGCTGCTCCTTGGCATAGGAGCTCCCAACGCCCGTGGTGCCGGGTATCTCTGTGAAGGTATTCTTTGGCTTTGGTGGCGGCGGCGGTGGTGCGGGTTGGATCTGCATCTGTGGCGGCGGCTGTGGCTGTGGCTGTTGCTGTTGCTGTTGCGGAGGCGGTGCTGGTGGTGGCACCATCTGTTGCTGTTGTTGCTGCTGCTGCTGTTGCTGCTGCTGTTGCTTTTGCTGTATTTGCAGCTGGATCTGCATTTGCAGCTGCTGCTGTTGCTGCAACTGTTGCTGTTGTTGTTGTTGCTGCTGTTGTTGCTGTTGTTGCTGCTGCTGCTGCTGTTGGACAAGGAACTCCGTGGAGCCACAGACCTGCGGTATGCAGTCCGGCTGCTGGCAATAGTCCTTCGAAACGGTGGCTATCGATGGCGTCTTGGCGCTGCGCAAATTCGGCGACGGTGAGGCGCCCATGGCCATCGATGAGGAGACACCCTTGAGCGAGCCCCCATAGCGACCCACGTGCCGCAATGTGGCACATTTGTTGGCCGTCGCCGCAGCCACAATATTCAGATTATTGTTGCCACGCACCGCCTTGGGACCGATGCTTATGTACTTGGGATCGAAGCGATTGAAGCTGTTGTTTGTGACATCGCGGGGATCCCGGTCGTCGACCAGCCCCCCCTCGCTGCCGACATCCAGGCCATTGCCTGTGGACCTGCACATGGCGTTGGCCGTCTGTGCGGAGAGCACGGAGCGGATGGAGCTGCCCGTGGAGCGGGGCAGGGTCGCCGAAGCGAATATGTTCTTCAAGGTGCTGCTGCTGTTCTGATGCTGATGTTGGTGCTGGTGCTGCTGATTGATGATGTTGCTGCTCTGCTGCTGATGGGGATGCTGCTGCTGCTGGAGTGGAGGCTGCGACGGCGCCTGCTGAAGCTGCTGGAGCTGCAGTTGGAGCTGCTGCTGTTGCTGCTGGGCTGTGTTGTTGCTATTGCCTGCATAGGTGCTGCAGGCAAGCGAATCTCAGTAAAAGTCGTTCGATTCGAGCGTCTTACACTGCTTGCTGAGCGTCGCGTACTTTCCATTGTTCGGCCCCTGCATATACGAGGCGCTCTGCTGATGATGCGACGGCAGGCGTCCCAATGTGTGATGGCCGGACCTGCAACAAAGGGAGGGAGGGAGAATCCATGTAAGTATTGGGCTAAGGGAACTCTTCTTAAAATATTCCTCATTTCTCTTCCATCGATTCCCCCTTTCCCCGGCTATGGCCGCCATCTCTAATTATATTGCATGGGTGGCCCAGGACTATGTATGATCCTACGGATTATCTATTGGAACTATTCTACAATTGGGAACTAACTCGACACTTCTGGAGCAAGATGCACGGAATAACAGTATACACAGTGTACAGTACACTCTCACATATTCTACATAGTCTCTGACCTATCTTTAATCTTTATTTGCATTTGATAACCCTTCCCCATACGAAGCTTCTTCCTCTTCCATTTAATGTATTGAAACCAATGTGGGATTGGATTATTGTTTATTTAAAAAAAAAAAAAAGAGTATAGCCATAGAAACTAGAGCTAAACCCGAAATTAAGAGTATAATATAACCTAAAATTAAAAGCTATTCGGTTTCGAGGATCTAGAGATGGGAATAAGCAGATAGAGAAGATAGTAGGGGAACGAGAAGCCCTAAAGTAGGTATTTTTAACGTCCTCAAAGCATTTGGAATAGCCTGAAATATTGGATACTTCAGATTTTGATTCGCCGATACTCCCTCAAAACCGAACGTTTTATCAAACGACCATGTTTCTACCTATGGAATCCATGGCACATATGCATATCTATGGCATAACTATGAAACCATTTCCATCAAGAGCCCTACATGAAACCACATTCACACTCACAGTATACTTGCGTTTTTTTTTTTAGTTTTGGATTACTAAAAGAGGTGATAACTTTCAAGCATCTTTCAAGAAATCTTCCACAGAAAGTTCTTTGCGCTTTTCGCTTAACTTCCAAATTCCAAATGACACGGAATTTCGGGAGAGAGCACACTTGTACAAGCAGTACACAGGCTCGATCAATCAGTTTCAATCAAATGAGAGCCTAATTTGCCACAGAGGAATGGACATGGATGCGCAAAGATGGATACATGATCCATGATCCATATTAAAATGTGTGTTTGGCAAACAAAAATAGTAAAAAGTCGCACAATGCTACTGTGTGCATGTCATGCAGTGCTCTATTTCGTCCTATCATATAATCATATCTATCGGATAGGAACACTATTACTAATATTTAAGAGAGTGTAGATCTATTGTATCCTTTTCCTGTTTTGTGAGTGCTAAAACGTAGCTCCTTATGGCAGTCCTTGATAATCTTCTACTCAGTTCTCTCTCTCACTTTTAGGATGCTCATGTGCATGTGATCCCCACGTAGATGGTGGTGTGTCCTTATTCAAGGTTTTGGCACTCTTTTAGGACATTTACTAGGCATTTATACCCTGCAAATATGAAGCCATATACATAGGTACTGCTATGCATCATCTAAAATACGCCTAGAGACTTGGATTAGGTCCCATCTGTCTTTCGTGAGTGTTACGCTAGATAAGAAACCTGCCTCGTTCGCAGGAAACATGGAAAATGGACGAGAAATAGACTTTACTGATTAGGGGGTATTAGTGGGGTGGGGCATCATTAGTGTTTGTTTCAGTTCCGGTTTCAGTTGTATGTGTTTATGTATGTGTAGGGGGCGTGGCGTAACGTTAGGGTATGGAGTAAGCCCCCCGTTGTGGTGGATGATCTATTGTTCGGTGGTTCTCACATGCAAAGGGGTGCAGAGGGTGCAAGCAGCACAAGAAAATAAACAACAAAAAATGGAGAACAAAGAACTTTAAGGATCACTCTAGCAAATACAAAAATAAAACTCAAAAAACGAAAAAACAGAAATGAAAATAAAGGAAGGGAAAGGGAAAAACGTAAAAGAATGAAAAGAAGAAGAAGAAGGAATCTAGGGGGAATGGGGAGGGGAATGGGGATCACAAATCAAAAAATGAAATCAAAGTTCATGCCTTGTGCCATGCACCATATCATAGCCGGGCGGCGGCGACGGCGATCCACGACCCCCTCCTCTGGCGGCCCCCGACACCGAGGTGCGTGTGTGGTGGGGGTTGGCCAACGTCATTGGAGCTACCATCGTGGCCATCGCCGCCGCTGTCGTCTGGTTAGTTCTATTATGCTGTTGTTGCAGTTGCAGTTGTTGTTGTTGTTGTTGCTGTTGTGTGGTGGTGTTGTTATAGTTGTTGCTGTAGTGGTTGCTGTAGTGATTGTTGTGGAGGTTGTTGTTGTAGTGGTTCTGATTGCTGTTGTTGTGGTGGTGGTGGCCATAAATGGCCGTGGATGAGCTGTGGCTTGATTGAGATTGAGATGATGGTGATGCCAACCCTTGTCTCAGTCCCGCCGTTCCGTTCCTGTACGGTCCAACGCCATTGTTCCCGTTCATTCCGCCTCCGCCTCCTGATCCTGGTAGTGTTCCGCCGCTTGCCACACCGCCGCCGACGCCTGCACTGCCTCCCTGCGTCTGCTGATGATGCAGCAGTGTGCGATTGATCGTTCCGGTGCCCAGAGGTGCCGTTGGCGAGATGCTGGCACTGGGCGCATTCGAGGCAGGGAACAAGGGAGCCGTCTCCGATTTGTCTGCATCCAGCGTGGGTCTGCCAAAAAGAGAGAGAGAGAGAGAGAAAAGGGATTACTTCTAAGCTCTGACGATTGATTGGGGGCGGGGGGAAGGGTGTGGATCCCATACCGCTTGCTCAAGTATATCCAGGCATGCGAATCCGCATACACGAGAATCGTCAGCAGGAAGGAGGTGAGCAGGCCTGCCACCATCATGAGACTAAGGCCCAGCAATCCGCCTCCGCAGAGCCCTCGCAGCGCCTCCGCATAATGACGATCGATGGCCCTGCGGTCCAGTGTAGCGGAAAGAGTCGTCAGATTGCGACGCGTCTCCTCCAGATCATTGTCCATGGCCGTCAAAGTGCGCTGGACATCGATGCGCGGATAGGTCTCTTGGCTCATTCTAAGGGGAGTCATTCGTTAAAAAGTGCTTCGATAGAGGAGGAGGGAAGGGGAGTCTTACCGCTGCATGGTTTCCACACTCTCTCTGGCCCGATCCACCAGATCCCTGCTTTCGTTCAGGCGCAAAATGAAACGATTCCTGGGCGTTCCACAATTCAAGAAATCCACATACGGACTCCTCTGCAGCAAGAACAAAGGAATCATTAGTTGGAGTGGGATTTTCCATGACCAGCAAACACTCACCATTCCAACCTGCCGGCACATATAGTCATGGGGTCGCATACAAAAGTCGCCAGCAGCCACACTGGAGGCTAGGTAGATGCCCGCCAGCAGCCAACAGATGATGATGCAGAACAAGCCCGAAACACTGAAGAAGATCAGGGTGCAACGCGACCTGCGTGCAACTCCAATCACCAGAACCGTGCACAGCAGCAGCAGGACGGTGAGAAAGGCCAAGGTGGCGGGCCATCGTATCGACTCGTAGAGTTCCCCCATCTGCAAAAAGACAGACAGACCGAATGTGAATGCAGCCGAGTCCCCGCTCCCTTCTGGACACTCACGTGCAGCAGCCCCATCAACGAGGTGTCATTCTCGCCGCCCTTGGCCTTCATGAAGTAGTGTACCATGCTGTCCAGGGAGGCCACCGCTCGCGACGTGTTCTCTCGCACCAGGCGCGACGTCTCAATGAGCAGCATCACCACCGTCTGATTGTATTGCGGCTTCTCCACCATTTGCTCCACCTTGTGGCCGGCCATCTTTGACTCCAGGTCATGCTTGATGCTTTCAGTCTGCAAGGAAATAGCGAATATATATTGTGAGAAAAGGAGCTAAATTCAGTGAAAACGGAGTCGAAAAGAACCAAAAAGTGTTTAGCAACCCCCAAAAAGGGGACGAGACCCGAGTTCAAAAGTTAACGACCAAAACGAAAGGAGGGTCGGGACGGAAAGTCGTAAAAACTGCAAGTTCTGAATACCCTTAATAATTATTGCAGGATATATTCTGCACGGTAGGGGGCCTCAAGCCAGAGCAAACACCTGTAAGGGGTAGTTGTCCCTCGACTAGAACGTTCATTGTTTATGGAAGGGTTTCCCACAGATTCACTGTGGAAATACCCATAATTCCACGTTCTAGCAACGCCCCAAGGTAGTTTTTCCTGTTCGTGTATTCTTTTTGTCATATCAAGACCGGTTCTTCGATATATATGTTTAAATGGACATATATTTATGTATATATCTTCGGATATATCTTTAAAATGAAGGAATACATAAGTACATCCTCTGTAAAAGCTCTCTATCGTTTGAGAAGAGAAGGGGGTAAGGTAAGGGTAACCTCCGGAACCTATCCCAACATTTGCATCCCTTAGAGAGTTCCTTACTTTCTTCCACACACACACACGCACACGATGGGGAAACAAAGGACTGTGTGCCACACAGAAACAAAAAGGAAAACTAGTTTCCATCGTAATACTTTTGCTTCCGCACTGATGGGGGACGGGCGGGTGTTGGGGTTTCGGCTTAGAAGGAATCGCTTTGCACACACGCAAACGTCTGAAGCACGACTTCCACTCCCCATTTCTCCTTGCTTCTTGGTCCCTAGCCCTTTCACTCCTCCCTCCTTACTTTTCGGGCTCTCGCTCTCGCTCTGGGTCTGGGCCTGGCTCTGGTTCTCTACCTCTGGGATAATTAATAGCGTTTTACTCAAGAGTCGGGCAATGCCAGCCATCTGTTTGGGCGCGACGGCGATGACTCCCGGCCTCTCAGACTCCTGGCCCCCATTGCTCGTACCTTCCCCCCCCTGCCGACCGCGGGCTGGCTGCATCCCTACCTTTGATGCTGACGGCGGCACCCCCACTCCCACTCCTAAGAGTCCTCCTTCGTGCTCCCACTCCTCCTTCTTTTCTCCTTAACCCCCTTACCCCCTTAACCTTTTTGCCATATCGGGCCCCGCTCGTTTGCCTCTCTCTTTTTGCAGAATCTCTTTCCCTGCCTTTGTCCTGTTCCTGACTGCTGTCTCCTGTCCTTTGGCTCCTGACAAAGTTTATGAATAGCAAAAGCTTTTGGAGTCCCCTCGCTGTCGTTACGACCTAACTGTCAACACTGGAGCAGCAGCAGGAGCAGCTTTTAGGTTGATTATAATGAAGCCGGATTGAAGAAGGAAGGAGTAGGAGAAGCACAGCAGCAAGAGGCATTAGGCGTAGAACGCCCCGTAAAGAGGGGATTGGGTTGGTGGAATGTTAGAGCTCTCGAAGAGCAGCATGGCGGGGCGTTCCGCTAGTTTCCCCTCCCTCCTCGTGGAGACTCACCTGTCGTTTCAGGGTGAGAACGAGACCCTCAACATTCTTCCCAGAGCTAAATGCCTGCAGCAGTCCATTGTGGAAGTCATCGTTGCCATATAATCCTGCAAGAGAAAGAACAAAATTAATCCACACACGCACTTCGGTTTAGATCGGAGTCAAAGATCAGGGATCATCGGAGCACCAGCAGCAGCATTCGCAATTCCACATTCCACATGAACAGGGGAAAGGTCAGTGATGTAAGAGACCCGTGCCACAAACACACACACTCACACACACTCATCACATTTATGAATGATTCAATTAAGAGCGATAATTAAATTATTATTCCATCATATTCCCATCCACATGGCCCACTCCACTCCACTCCAGGCCTCTTCTCTGCTCTCATTTCCCGTCTCTACGCTATCGCCGGTTAACCGATGACGCATTTGCCGCACGGCGGCATCACAGAGCTCAGACGGGCAGACGGCAGTGGCAGGGTTAGGGTTAGGTAGCCCTACGCTTGGAGGGCCTTACGTGACCACAGAGCAAGCGGTCACCCAGCTGCTACACTCAACGAAAGTCTTTTCTGGCTGTCTTTTCCAATTCCTCTAGAATAGAGTATACACTAGTATCTGGAGACGCATACTTTCTCCATTCTTTCCTTCTGTCTTTAATCTTATTTTCATTCCTTCCTACTCTTCCTACTCTGGTAGGTTATGGTGGACGTGTCATGCAGCAGCGCTCCTCGGCTCGCTCCTCCTTGAATCTTCCCTTGGGCCACCAATTGCAGCACCTCCGGTCATGCAACAGATTCCATCGTTTCTTTCTCTTTTGTACCTTTTCTTCTTCTTCTACTCTTTCCAGTCTCCGCATAAGGTTAGTTTTTAGTGTCATCCAAGGATATCTCTCTCGTTTAGGTACTGTTGTCTGGACTGGGCTCCGTTCTCTGTTTTGATCTCTGCTTGTCCATATCCTAAAATAGCAAAACTCTGCCACACGCGTCATGCAAAAGATTCCATCGTTTTTCATTTTTTCCTGCCAAATATTTTCTTTTAATGCATGTCTACAACATGTTTATATTCCAGTGTAAACCTAAGACTACAGGGTGGCCCCCAATAGCTGTCGCATTTCCTTAAAGCGATCCTGTACAAAATCCAAAATTTGTCAAACTTGCAGCCGTTTCGAATTCACATTCCCACGATCACGTAATTCACACATCGATCCGTCGATATTGAAAGCATTTAAGCGATGAAAGCACAACTGGGCTTTGTTCGGAATTTGCATTTTCAAGGAAATTAGGAATTAGGAAGTATGCAATGTAGCTCTCTGAAGGTTCAAGGTAACTAGAAGACTTGAAATATCCCACATAGTAGGAGGGATACATCATAAATGTTCAAACTGACAGCGACATGGAGCTGTTCCTGCTGCAGAGTTAGCCACAGATCAGAATATGATTAGAAAACCATTGGTTGTATGCGAAAAGCTGGGTAAACTCTTAAGCTAATAAGAAAGCAATTGAGATCAATATCTGCTGGTTATCTGTTATGGTTTTGTGAACCATATCCGATATCCGGATTCATTTGTCCATGTCTTTTCAAAAGCTGCCAAACGCTGAAAGTTGGAACCGAAATTCCCGCTAAGGGAATGTTTAATAGAAAGTTAATTGAAAATTAAACATTGCAAAAGGCGTTTTTTAGCCTAAATAAGACAATAGTTTAGGCGACTCAGCTATTGCTGGCCAAGTACAGGGTTTCTTATTGCGCGACATGCACGAGCGCCTCTCGGTTCTCGTGGAAAACCACTCATACACGAGTGCCAGTACATCACTATTTTTCCAAGAAATGTTCAATGTTCTCCGTTCAGACTCCTTCCAAAGTCCCTCAAATGTTTCATAATCCTAAACCAAAATCTCTGGACTGCAGGGCGACCGCTTTTATTTCGAGTGCAAGCCACGTTCCATCAGCAGAGCAGTCCAGCAGTTCTGGCCGATTGCCAGAAGTCAAACCATGCGGTTCGGCGGCGGTGGCTGCTCCGTACGTGCTCTGGGCATCCAATTTAGGTATATTCCAGAGGACCACAAGAACAGAGGGTAAAAGGGATGGAGGGATGGAGGGACACTCACCTAATCCAATCGCCGCACATGTCATCAGGGTGATGATCACCAAAGTGCAGCTCTGGCATCGCTGGGCGCTCGGCTTCCGCTGGCGTCGATCACAGCAGCGGGTGAGTAAATACAGCAGCAGTCCCACCAATGAGACGATGAGCAGGCCGGCGGGTATCGAGGCAAGGATGCCCAAACTCTGCAAAACAACAAAAAAAAAACACATACAGGATTAGTTTTTGGGGGGCTTTAAGTGCATTATAATCTCTGTGGAGGCGACATTTCCTTCCCCATGGGTTTCTGGTTTCTGGTTCCTGGTTCCTGGTTTGGTTTCTCTTTTGTGCTGGACATTGGAAAAAACTTTTAATTGAATAACTTGCCACATTCTGTTGCTGCTTTTGCTGCTGGTGTGGCAATTTGTTGTTAGTTGGCTTCGGTAATGGAAAAGTGGAACGAGAACAGGACCAGGAGCAGCAAGGACTCGAAAGGGCGGACAGTGCGAGTGCTTTGAAGCGCCTGTTCGGATACCCTGTTCTGCCAGTGGAAAGGAGTTTGGAAAATGACCCGAAAAGCGGTTGGCTTCCCTGGAGATGACAGATCAAAAGGGATTGTATCTGGAGTATCTTTTAGCATTCATCTCTTATCAAGTTCCAGCTGAAAATGTTTCCCTAAGCGAACAGACAGGTGGAATGATGCAAATAAGGTTTCCCTTGATTTTCAGTACAAATGTTCCCCTAAGCAAGCAGACACACACGGCACAAAAGATCAAATATCGAACATTAAAAGTACAATATAAGAAGCAAATAATTTCCTCCGATTTCTGGTGAATGTCAAATGCCCAGTCACACATAAACGTGACCGTACATAAACACTCCCAGTGGCAAGCACCTTCATTCGTGTGTTGTCTACCCCGTGTTTATGCTTTTTGTAGGGTGTATAGAAATGTCGTCTGCAGAAAAGTTAATTCTTTCTTTTTTTCTTGACTCTTTTTTTTGCAGAGTCCATGTCTGAAATTGAATTGAATTTTGGGGGTGGGGGGGCGCAGGACACAAAATAGCACACAGGAGGACCCCTCGCTTTTCTGTCTGCAACCGAAAAATGTTCTTCACTTAACGGTAATTTCATTGCCTGTCATTAAAAAAAGAAACACCCCTCCAGTAGATGTCCTGTAGATGCGCCTGCACTCCACACCACGCCCGCACCCAGCGTTTCGTTGTGAGTGTCAAATTACAAGAGTCGTCGAGGATATTGGATACCTCCCTCCCAGGGAGGCAGATAACACCCTGTGCCGCATTGTGACATCGCACGTTGATTCCAATGAATCGCAAATGAGTCAGAAATAAAACTGAAAGGCAGCCTGCTGGATCCTTCCTCCGTTCGTAGGGGCATATCCCTCATAAATCCAGTGACAATCGCTAGAGTTATACTCTTTAAGTCGGTCTTAAATTGAAAGATCTACTCTGTTCTCTTTGTAAAATTCGTAGCTGAAGTTTTACTTTATTGACGGAGCACATGGCACTAGTTAGTCCTGGCAGTTCCTTTAGAGGAACACCTCTCTATTCCTTCCAATCTTCACACACACAAAACATGGCTCAATCGACTCCCGATCTACCGCCATCGCTTCGGCTTTCGGTCAAAGGAGACTCATAAGATTCGAACTAAACTCTGCCATGAGTATCTGGGGTTTCTGCAGGGCTATCCCTAGGCTCTTGAAGGAAAGTTCCATTCAAAGACATATTTTTAGTATCCTCTAGAGCCCGTGAAAACGGTCGTGTGCCTCGACAAACACGTTTCTACTGGTCGCCTATTCGTTCTTCCATGGTTCTTTCTCCAAGCAATAGATTGAAGAACATCCCATCCATTCGAACAATAGCTTCTATCGGAAAAAAATCACAACGGATTTCGTTTTTAAGTGGATTTCTAGCCAATTTCCAGTCTGTCAATCAGAATTGAAAGCGATACCACCCAGTGGTAGTCCGTAGTCCTCCGATTGCCTGATGTGTGGATGGGTACGATTGGGTGTTCCCCCCAATCCACACATCCATTGGATCCCATTTCCCCAACGAATCTACGGGTGGGGTGTGGCGGGCCCAGCTCTATTTATTATTTATTGCACTCTTTTTTCCACTGTAAATAATCATTAAAACTAGTTACAGTTCTCCCCCCCCCCCCCCTTCCCCTCTCCCTCCACCAAGCTCCTTTCCCCTTGCCCCATCGCTGTGTTTCTGTGTGTTTTTCTCTGTTTGTGCCTCGCCACTTTGCGTGTCGTCTCCCATGTCCGTCTCCCCACCGTGTGTGTGTGTGTGTGTGTGTGTGTGTGTGTGTCGGTGTGTCGCGCGCGTCGTGTGTCCTCCGCCTTGCAGTTGAATGACACTTGAGCCACGAGACTGATGCCCCCCCCACTCGCCCCCACTCGCTCTTTCATATGCAATCTGCAAAATGAAGCGAAAATGTTTCGTGCCCAAAAGCTCCTTGGGCCTAGTCCTCCTGCTATGCGCTACGCTCGCTTTCCATCGACATCCAGCTCGTGGTCTCTCTCCCTCTCTCCCTCTCTCTTTCTCTCGCGGTCTTGCCACCGAATGGTGTATGCTGTTCGCTTAGGGCAAATCAGCGATATTCGTAATGCATGTAGAATACAGAAAAATACAGAATACTAGAGAGAGAGAGTGAGATCCTTTTCGAGTCGTGCCTTGTGATTCTTCCATGAGATTTTTTCTGTAGAAAAGCTTTAGCCATCGCGATGCATCGGGGGAAAAGCTGTCGTAGCCCTCATCCTCCCAACAGATGAGGTGGTCCTTGGGGCGCCTCCTTCCGTCCGTAAGGCGCTTTAAAACGTGAGAAAAATTACGCCCTTCCACAGCCAACAGTCGATGAGGATATTTAGAGGAGGTTGAGGGTAGGGGAGGATGGTTTTGGATGACGATGACGCTGGCGATGAGAATGGATGCCCCCCGATGAGCGTTGCACGATGGAACGATGTTCCGTGTGTTCCAATTGAATTAAATCAAAGCAAATTGCCAGCAACATCAGCAGCAAAAACAAATAACCTTGACGCCCTCCCTCTTCACACCTCCCATCACCGTATGCTCTTCTATGCCTCTTTTCCTCAATTGAGAATATATTTCTCTCTCTCTCTCTCTCTCTCTGTTTCTCTCTGTGGGAAGTGTGAAAAGTGGCGGCAGCTAATTGGAAACTAAATCACAAGATATATATCTTTTTGTATATTTATGCAATCAGCCCCAACCCCCAACCCCCTTGCAAAAAACACCATCTCGCCAACAATTAACACCAGCAAAAAAAAAAGAAGGCGATTAGAAGTAAAGATTTCGAGATTCGAGCTTTAAGATTTGCGTTAAGTAAATAATAAATCTATATCCAGGATCCATATTTATTCTCCCAGGCGATTCCTCAAGAGATTCTCTGACATATGATATCAGAAAAGATCAAAGAATATCCGAGGCAGATAATCGTAGTATTACCTACGAAAACTCTAAGCCAGAACATGTCCTGACGTTACGGTACCAAAAACCGAAGGGCAAAGCTCTGCGAATTGGATTGGGACGATCTGAATAACCTCTTTTTTTTTTTACTAATATATAAGATATTAATTCGCCGTTATCTAGGCTACTAAATATACAAATATTTCCTGTTTTATTGTTCAAAGTCCGTACGTCCGTCCATCTGGCGTACGTTGCCGGCGTTACGTTACGAAATTCCGGGGTAAATCCGGCTCGTTGCCCGAGCTTGGACTAATTTCCTGGGATTCTGTTTATTTGATAGTTCAATATGTAAGAGATTCTATGTAGATACCTTTCAACAAGCATAAGATATGATAATCAAGGAAACCGTGACTTTCAAAATAGTAAATAGTAAAAATAAAAAAAAAAACTTGTTCTGCTTTTAATAGGTTTTCACTTCAAAGTTATTGTAATTATACATATGTCGAGTATTCAATAAATTTAGGAAATATAATGGCGACTCATTTACTATATGGAAATGTTTTTACTCTCAATGGGTTTTGGGACGGTATGGGACTGTACACCCTCAAGATGGACAGACCCTTGCAAAAGAAGCACTATATCTGACATCTTATATCTTTTCGTTTGCTTTTCAATGCAAAAAATGAGAAAGGAAGAATTTCCCAAGCTCAAGCATGTGTCCGCAAAGGCGAGGATATGGAACAATTTGGGGGAACAAGAATCAGAAATGCTAAAAGAAATTAAATGAAGAACCAACTGTTGTATGTTTACATCATTCTTCCAAAATCCGTTCCAATCGAATATCCTTCCATTCGATTGGTTCTGGCGGACTCCTTCTTTTTTTAAATCAACTTCTATAGAAGTATGAGTATATCTGTGGAGAATTTTTCTTTTTTTTCTTTTGGGAAAGCCTATTCCAAAAGAAATTTGTTAAGAAATCTCTTTAGAAGCATGCTTTTTGTTATGGTCTCTGGGTGAATGCTTCCTTTGTGAAATGTGCCTCATTTTGGAAAGTTCCGCTTAAAGATCTATGGAGAGTCTGTATCGGAAGTCTTTAGAAAAAACTTTCTTTGAGAAAACCCTCGAATGGAGTATTTTTCCTATGCAATCTATGGAAGAACCCCTAAGAGAATAATCTCTTACTGATAGAGAAAAGATCATCTTCTACCTTCAACGAATCTTGAACTCTAGAAATGTAAAATTTCCTGTGAGAGATCTTTCGAATAGTAATAGCAAAAGAATTCAATAAACGACTATGAAATATCGATTGATTTCCCTTGTTTTTCTTTTTAAATTTATTCAGTCATCATTTTTGAGGTTATTATCCCCCTCCTCCCTTTCTTTTCTCTGCGTCCCCGCTGGGCGCCCCCTTGGGATCGTGTTTTTCCTTCTACTGCGTGGGTGGACGCGTTTTCCCTGATCAGATTTCCCCTCTGTGCTCTCCTTTGCTGCAACCTCAATGATCGGATCCCCACAGACACAGCCATACACACACACACACATATGTACATGGGAAAACCAGTTTTCTTTTCCCCACTCTTCATTTTCCGCTGTCTCTTTCTCCTTCTGGTTCGCAGACACAACGGTTATTAGAACGGAATGCATGGAACAAGTATGGAATATGGAAATGGACTCCCGATTAAGCATCGAGAAAAAGGTTCGGCGGGGCAGCGCGCTTCCGGGGCTTGCTCTTTGCTCTCTATCTTTCCCCGTCTCTTCCTTCTCTTCCCTTCCCTTCTCTTCTCTTCCCTTCCTTTTATCTTTGTCTCTCTTTCCCGGTGCTTATATCAGTGTCTCTGTAGGCGGCATTCTTTGTGGCTTCCTCTCTTTCTGGCTTCATTATCGCCCACTCTTTCCCCACTTGAAGCGAAACGAAGATAAGCCAAGCCAGCGAACGGGAACCTTAGAAGGAAGAAGGAGAATTCTAAGGAGGAGCAACAGAAGAGAGTGGGAGTCAAGGTTACTCCAAAGTCCGAGAGACAGACAGAACCCTCCGCCCTCCTTCTCGTTGGAGCAACAGGAAACGGAGTCAGCAACAAAAGGGAAAGAAACAAATAAATACAACAATAAATACATATGCAAAAAAGAATTGAATAAATATGGAATAAAGCCAGGAAGTAAGTGTCGCAGACCGAACAGAACGAAGGCAAAGAGCAGAGAGAGAGAGAGAGAGAGAGAGAGAAAGGGGAGGAGAAAAAAGGAAGTGCGCCATAGAACGACGACGAGTGCAAAGAGCAGAAGCAAAAAAGGTGGGGCTCTTGGAAGGTGGGTGTGGTGCGTCATTCGTCTGCCTGTCCGTCCGTCTGTGGCTCTTGGACGTGGCATAATTCTATATGCTAATCAAGCGGAGAGCTTTTCCATCGTCCGACAGAGAGGTTAGCCGATCAAGAGCGAGAACTGAAGAGAAGGAGAGCCCGCAGACACCTCCCCTCTGACGATCCGCAGCCATTCGAAAGGGTCTCTGAAAGCAAGCAAACAGCAACATCAACATCACCAGCAATCGTTCCTAATCGAATTTTCGTATAAACAAAAGCCATTCTGTGTTGATATTTCGATTTGTGGCACTTCGCTGGCACTGTGGGGCACTGGTGCGGTGGTTCTTTCTGCGCTTCGGGCTCTGTGATTCATTCAGAGATTATGGAAACGAAAAAACTGGTGCGCCGGCAGGCAGGGCCCCCGCAAAACTCTCACACAGCAAGGGAGCGTCAGAGAGAGCGAGAAAGAGAGATCTAGCGAAGGAAAAATAGAGTGAGGATCGGAGAGGAAAGCAAAGGAAGAACTGTGGCCACAAAACGAAAGAAGAAACAAAGGAAACCAGACGGAACAGAGGGATCTCTGAATGTTTTCCTGCAGTCGAGAGAGAACCACCTGGTGGAAAAGAGAGGGACAGAGCAAGGGGGAACATGGGGAAAGAGCTGAAACAAAAACCACAAGACATATTCCGTTTGAACTTGAGCTTTGGATACCCTGCTTCACCCAAAGGGAAGGAGTGGAAGTTCAATGGAATCCAGTGGGTGGATAAGCTAAAAGTTTTTGTGAAAAGTATCATTCGAGTGGGATCTGAATCCTTAGTTTCAATACATATGTTGAATGGAATACCATTAACGCCATTGCGATCACTATCCCTGGCGATTTTATTTGAAAATGTTCAATAAAAGTAATCTTCGGGGAGCTCTCTTTAGATGAAAGCCCTGAGATCTCGTATCATATTTCTTTTCGTAATTATTTATTCTATTCTCCAAAGAAACCCGAAATGGACGGTCTGGGGGATTCTGTTTTGAATAATATCATTTACAGGGTATCTGCAGTTGTTCGATGATGCCCCTGATCTTCATTGGGAGCCGCTGCTTTATTTATGGGAATGCAGAGAGCCCCCGCTGCTGGGGGGTTTTGATCAGAAGATCAACCGAACAGCGGATGAGAAGAGAGCGTGGGGCTGGGGCTGGGGCTGGGGCTGGGACAGGGTCTGGCTGTGCTTTCATCTCATTTTTGTTTATAAATTTCTGATCTCTGGGGTGGTCGAGATCTTTGGGTCAGAAAAAAGCGCTTTAGAAGAGTTTGTAAACAATGGCGAGGGATCCAAAGTTTCATTCCATTCCATTCTGTTTCGTTTCGTTTCGCTTCCTTTTGTTCCTTCCTGCTTTCCGTTTCCATTGTGGTGTTTCCTTTTTGGACGACGAATCACAGAAGGCAACAACAAAACGGAGTGATGGACAGGCGGACGGGTCGGACGGGACGGACAGTCACAGATACAAAGCAATCTGTCGAGTGGTCGAGAGGCGGGGCACGCCACAGAGCCAGGGGCATGTGGCAGGGGCATCTGTTTGTTCTGCCACAATGTGATAGCAGCTGTGTGCCCTCCGTCTTTTACGCCTGCTGCCTGGTCGGTCGTCCTGCCCCATTTGTTCTGCTGCTGCCTGCCTTTGTGCTGCAAGCAATAGCAGCAGCAGTTGCAGCAACAGAAACAAAGACCGAAACCAGAAATGAAAGTACACCCCAGAGATATCTCCGACGACTGTGGAAAGTGTCAACAGATACGCAGAAGAGAGCGACTCGTAATATCCATGAATCATGGATTGTGCAGAGTTTTCTATATATAGAGAGACCTCCAATCAGTGTGGAAGCCATCTCTCAATTCTCGGGCTCAGAAGCGGCAGATGCCACTTCCTCAACCAAGCATCCCCTTTTTCGCGTTTAATTCTAGCTCGTGTCTGGTCCAATCTGTCCCATGAATGCGGGTTCCTCTTTTACAGGGAACCCCTACCCGCACCTCCAGAGACAGAGACAGCAAGGGAGAAGGCTAGCGCTTCCTCTCCCGTTCATTGGCGGCACGTCCGTCCGTCCGTCCGTCCGTTGAAGCCATTGAAGGTTGAATTGATGATCATCATCCGCCACCGCATCGCATCGCATCACACAATCAATGGATGAGTGGCTGTGGTGGGTGTCAGTAGAGATTCCCATGCGTAGATATGAAATAAAGGGAGGAATACCCTTGGAGATGACATCTCATCCTTCTCGTGCTCCCTTCCATTTAGGTTGCCGGAAAAAACCCCACCAATTAGCCATCGTGGTGTCCGCCTCGTTCCCTTCCATAGAGCGGTTCAACATTTTGCTGACGCGCGTAAAAACTACGCCCCAACCCGAGCCCCAAATCCGTACCCGTACTCGTACCCGGCCACCGGTGCATGGCTCTCCAGTGCAGCAGCAGCAGCAGCAGCATGACCTACATCCACGCCAAGCGACAAAGAGAGAGAGAGGCAGAGGAGAGGGAGAGCCGAGGCCATGCCAAGCGATGACCTGGATTTTTGGATTTGGATTCGAGAGTCGCTGGAAACCGTCATTCCCAGAGGGAGGAGGAAGGAAGAGCTCTGATAATTTTAATCAAATTTTCCCTCGGGGATTTCTTAATAGGCAAAATCTGCATATCATATGTGGGAGAAACCCCTGCACAGAGATAGAGAGAGAGAAAATGTGGAAGATCGTTTAGCAAAGGACGGAAAGAGAAAAAGGAATAAGAATTAGAAGTGGAGAATCCATAAAAGGAAGCCGGAAGTTTGCAGCTGCTGCAGCGCCCCCAACCATCCATCCGACTCCCCCCTTAAACATCTCCTCTCGCTCGTTCGAAAGAGAGGACGCGGACGCACATGTAGAGCACATGGCAGAGGAGGCCTGAAACAATTTGGGAAATGGAACGGACAAAATCATCGTACAGGGAGCAGGCAGGCACATGGCACATGGCTGAAACGGAATGGCAATGGACGGGCGGGCTAGCAGACAGAAGAGAGCGACAGCGAGAGCGCGAGCGAAGGAGAGGGAGAGAGTCGAAGAGCAGGCCGTCAACAAAATGGAACTTCATGCTAGTTTTTCCCACACGTTTTCTTCTTTTTCCTTGCAATTGCAAAACGGGACCGCTCTCTCACTCGCAGGTAAAGAGCTAGTGAAAGAGAGAGCGGGAGCGGAAAGAGGAAGCAGCAGCAGACGAGGGTGGGAAAATGGATAAAAGAAATAGAAAACAACATTTTGAGGAAATATATGCCATATTTCCCCTCCTCCTTCTATTCCACAAGTACACGGATTGGATACTCAAGAGTTCCACTCAAGAAACACAGAGAGAAAGGAGGAGAGAGAGGGCCACTTGAGAATCAAAGAGGATGAGGGTGTGAGAATAAGTGCCGTGCCGCTCCCCTCCCCAAGGCATCGTCAGATCTAATATTTAAAGGGTATTACAGGGTATCTACTCACCTCGAGATATATATCGCTGTCCGGATTGAAGGTGTCGTTCACCCGCCGAAACGTGTAGTTCACGTGCGGCACCGAGTGAAGGATTTTTACGAGTATGCTCGGCTGTTCCATTTTCGCGGCGGTGGCGGCACACACAGAGAGAGGGAGGTCCAAAAGGAATAACTGTTAACGCTAATACTCTCTCTCTCTCTCTCTCTCTGTCACAATACGGGGGGGCGACGCGACTCCTTTTGACGTCACAAGCGACGGCCTCTGCTGCTGCGCAAATTTAGAGTGTTTTTTAGCGCATTCCAAAAAACGGCGGCTGCAAGCAAAAGAACCGTTAAGAACGAAGTCTCCCTCTCTCTCTCGGGAGGAACAGCAGCCAGGGAGGAGTGTGGGAGAGAGAGGGAGTGCTGGCTGACTGGCGTGCGTTTTAGGAATCCAAGGAATGGAAACAGCAACAACAACGCATGCTCTCTCCGCACCAAGCCGTTCTCCCTCTCTCTCTCTTTCTCTTTGTCTCTCGCTGTGGCACGCGTCCTGTTTTCACTTTCACTTTTCCACACACACCCACAACAAAAAAATTCGTACGAAAAGAATTGACCACACACACACATGGATCTCTCTCATTGAACACACTCAAACACAGATACAGATAGATAGCGGCGTTTATAGCCGGACCGATTCACACAGGGGTCCCTGCTTTCGCCCCTTTATCTACGTTTTGTTTTGATTGCACCGCAGCATCCGCTTCGCAAAAAAATATAATAATGATAAGCGAAATCCGGACCGGCACATGTTCCATACAACTGTAGACAAATATCAAAATATATATGCTATATAATTTATACACTGATTAAATTATGCAATTATTCCCAGGGTTATCGCCGCCACGTTTTAAAGGATGATTTTTTTTTGTTCTCGGCTTCCCAGGGGCGTTGTTTCATTTACCGTCTCGTACCGTCCCGATTCGTACTCAAACGCCTCAAACACCGACCCGTTTCGCGTACCGTTTTATTCCGTTTCGCAAGTAGTCTTCTTCTTCTTTTCCTACTATCACTCCGTTTACCGTTTACTGTTACTATTGCTGCCGAGGTCCGTTTGCGAATGAGCAGAGACCCAAGAACGCGCTGCAAAGCCACCGAGCCAAACATAGAGAGAGAGAGAGAGAGAGAGAAAAAAAAGAGAGCGTAAACACACTCGTGAGAGCCGACCTATGATTGCCCTACCAAGAGAGCAGATATCCGACAAGGATTTACATGATATTCATATAATATATCGAGGGCGATGTAAATACACCGCTATTGGAATTTGTCTGTCTCAGATAATTAAAATCACCTCTCACATGCACAGCACATGCAAATCGAAGGGCATTTATCTGTCGCTGTGGCTGGTTCAGTTTTTATGTGTTCTGGCTCTCTATCCCTCATTTCTCTCTTTTCGGCTTCTTTTGACTCGGAGAGCCATCGCACGGGGACTGGACTGACTGGTCCATTCAATGGAGCGGGGGCGGGGACGGGGTTGAGGACGGTGTAGAGGGCCTGGCCAGCGTGTAGAACGAGAAGTAAACAAGAAGGCATAATGCTCAACAAAAATTATTCCTGCAGGGCGGAAATCAAAATGCAACTAAATGTGATGTCCCGTCCCGTTCCCCTCTCTATCTAAGACGCGATCACTACTCTCGCTCACCCACTCTGATATGCTGACTAAAGAGTTCTCCGCTTTATGTGTGCCACTTCATCTTCTTCTTTCTTTATCAAAAGTCAGCCAAAAACGGGTTTGTTCGAAGCAAATAACAAGAATAACCGCTTTAAATACTCTACTAAGTTAGTTTCGCTGACTAAGTACGAAAGAAAGAGCGAGACGGAATGTGAAGGCGAGCAGCTCCAATGACACTTATTGCTGCAACGCTGCCGCTGTCCCCCTGCCAGATCCATGTAATTCGAAGAACCCTTAGGAACTTGCTCCCCACCGACCAACACACAACGAAATTCTTTGACTGGCGTCATTCTCTCTTTCTCGCTCTGTCTTCCCCCCACTAAAACTCATGGGGCGACTCTTTTATCGGCCGGTAGAAGTCGAGGAAATATGATTATTGTTCATAAATATTTGTGCAGTGGCGGGACCCGACCCCACGACGACCATATTCGAGGCGACGGTAATCGATGATGATAAAAGGCAAACAAGGAGTGACACACACACACACACACTACACAATAAAAAGGCACGTACACGCGGAGGCTAGGCGGCCGAAATCAAGAGGAAATGTAACTTTTAGAGCACTCCACACACCTGCAGATCAGTTCAATCTGTATTTGATTTGCACAGCACAGCACCTTGATGTTTTACATATTCATCTTCATTGAATCATTTGTATCTTTTTATTTTATTTATTTTCACGACGGGTTTACGTTGTAAGTTTATCGGATCTATCGATAAAATATACTGTCCGGCACTCAGAAATCTACCAAAATATACCGTCTGTCTCATTTAAAAATATACCGTAATTATACGGACGAATTCAAGTTCAATTGTACATATTCCTCGTTTTGGATATTCTGTGGAATATTACTAGCTAGTTAAGACCCTCATGTCGGAACTTATAATTTTATCCGATTCTCAAATCGATTTCCTACAAGACTGGTTTAATTTAAGTTTTCATCTTTATTGCACTGCTTATAAAATAAGATTTAAGCAAAAACAATTTCCACTAAATTTATTTCTTGACACGGTAACGACATGTAAGCTACACATTTTCCACATATTAACTACATTTTGGTGTAATTACCAAAAGCGACACCTGAAGGTGTTTTTTTCATATCAGCCCCATGGAAGTGCCAGTTTGAAAAACCTCCGTTGTTTACTTTTTGGCATGCTTTTTTCCGACATTTTTCAAACAATTGAGATATTGATGGCAGGATTGATGCTGATCAGGAATTGGTATTCGATGTGGCCTAAGACATCGCTTGAATTGGAAGCTCTACATGATTTCTACATATGTAAGTGCATTAGAAAAAAATTGATAACTAAGCGTTGCATCCTCATATAATGGACACCAGTGTCAGCGCAATTTAGCTGTTGCCTATTTTATAAAAAGTTTTTGTTTTACCAAACCTGAAATTTGTTTTTTGAAATAATTGGTTAATGCAACAATACTTTGAGTTTTCGGGCAAACAGCTGACGCAGCCCGATTTAGCTATCAATGATTCAGATGTTACACATAAAAGAGGATTTTGCGCTCGCAATACACTAATTGTGCGTTTAACAAGACATGATAATATGTGAAATAATTTTGCGAAAACGGGAGCACCTAAAAATGGAACGTTTTGTCTGAAAACACAGAAGTAAATTCAAACCGTTTCCTTTATTCAATAAAGTAACAAAATATAAGTCTAAAGAGTAAAAATATAATTTGCGGATATCATCACGAAAATTATGGGAACCCACCACTAGAGCGAAAAGTCTTGTAAATACACGGTACATTCGATGTTAGGTAGGGACAACTCTGGGCTCCCTCTTTTGGAAACATGGAGTCACATCTGCACATCTCTAAGAACTAATCGCATTCGATTGGTAGAAACACTTTCCGCCATTAATCGATGTGTATATATTTAAATAAATTAAATTCTTAAATTAGATCTCCGATTTAAGAAATAAATAAAAATGCGCTTCATCTGTTTTTGAAGAAGCGGGCGGTGCGTGCTTGGACAGCACCAAATGCAACGCCGTTGGGCTCGAAAATGTGTCGGGCTATCCATTCCGGTAGCTTCTCCCGGATCCGGGCGCTGGCATAGCGCTCGTCGAGTAGAAAGACACATGCGTAGTCCCGGATGTGGCGAACAGAGCGGCCGATGCACTGGTTGACCGCTTTCATGCAGATGTTCTCGTAATACTCGTTGCCGGCGCCGGAGCCCAGACGCTCATCCAGATAACGCATCCGCTGCTGCAGCTCTGGCGCATTTCGATTCGGATAGGGCAGGCCCACAACGAGCACGGCCCGTCCCAGGTCGTCGGCAAAGTTCAGTCCCTCGGACAGTTTTCCACCAACGACGGCCAGCAGAAGTGCCCCTCCTTTGGGGACAGCAATAGCCTCTGCATACTGCTGCAGTAGCTGATCTGCAGCACCAGAGGATTCCCGGAAGATGCGCTTCTTTCGGGCAATGTTCTGCAGGCCACCGCTCTGCTCCAGGTGGGTGTGGACCGTGTCCAGGTACTCGTACGAGGGTAGGAAGCAGACAACGCCCCCGGGCAAGACATTGCAAAGGTTCTGCAGCACCATCGACAGTTCCTTGAGCTGTAAGAGTGGATTATAGTGGGTCTGGAGTGAGGAATAAGAGTTGCCACCCACCATGGCGGGAGTCCCACGCTGAGCATAGCTGAAGCAGAGGCTGGCCCCAGTCGGTCCCTTTGCCACGACAAACGGCAGCACAGCATCCGGCGGCACCACATGGCTATAGAAGCGCTCCACCAGCCGCTCTGGGCAGCGGGCGAACAGCTGCTCCTTCAGCTCCTGCGTGGGCTGCATCGTTCCGCCAGCAATGACAATCTGCACAAGACAGTAAGAAGGTTATTTAGTTGATAAAATAAACGCAAACGAAGACTACTCACCGCTCTGGCCTCCGAGAGGATGTCGGCAAAGTGCTCGGCTGGATCAAGCAGCAGATACTTGACCATTCCCGCCTGGGGATTGAGCAGTACCCTTCCATCTGCCGCATTGCTGGTGAGCGTTTCGATGAAGGCCAACAAAGGCCGAATGGGGGAAGGTGCAACCTGATCGGAGCTGCTGCTCTTTTTCTCCATCTGCAGCTCCTCTTCTGCCTCTGCATGGGTCTCGGCCAGCTTGCGCTTTCCATGGGGCTGCTTTCCTAGCGTCTTATGCTGCGTGACCAGGTGCTGCAGTAGTGTCTGGCGACTGGAGCCGGGCGGCTGGTTCTCGCTGGGACGCGGCTCCCTCTGGGCCCGGGTCGCATGGCCCTGCACCTTCTGGGCAAAGCGCGTTCGGCCGCAGAACTCCAGCAGAGCGCGCAGATCGATGTTGTCGAAGTCGCCCTCGGACGAGAGCTCGTAGGTGCGCAGCATCCGCACGGACGTGGCTCCGGCCTTGGGCTCGAGCAGCTTCAGCAGACGGCGCAGCACAAACAGCAGCTGGTTGATGCTCAGGAGATTGCGGGTGCTAAGGCGGCGCGCATACTGCAACTTGTAGCCGGAGACCTGGTCGCGGGCCAGTTCCAGCTGGGAGCGGGTCAGCTCCGAGCCGTGCAGCTGGGCAATCGAGTCGAGAAGGTTATGAGCTTCGTCCACGATCACAACGGAGCCGCGCAGGTCGATGCCCAGCTGCTGACGGGCTGAGCGCTGGAGGAGAAGCTGGTAGGGCAGCAGCACCAGCTGGGCGTCGTCCTGGGCTGATCGGGAGGCGTAGTAGGAGCAGCCACCGCATGCGGTGCCTTCGACAGCCAGTTCCTCGATGTCCAGGGGCTCGCACAGAGCCACATCCCGGAGGCTCTCCACCTTCGCGGGCGCCTTGAAGGGGCAACGACTGAGCGAGGCGGCGGATCCAGCAGCGAGACGGGATTTCTTGCTGGGATTGGCCGGTGCCTTGCTCCGGGCCATGTCCAGGCAGCGCTCGTTAATCAGGCCCACGTTTCGGAGCTTTCGCACCTGCGGATTGATGCACAGCTGCTGTCGGGAGCCCAGTGAGACGCAACGCACCCACGCCCCGTGTGGGGTCTTCCGCAGCTCAGCCACGATCTGCGCAAGCTGCGAGTGGGTGCGGCTGCAGAAGAAGATCTGCACGGGGCGGTAGCGATCCTCGGACTGCTCCTCGGGGCCGTCGCCCAGCTCGTGGTCCGAGTCGGAGTCCGTATCCGCATCGGAGGGATGCTCGTTGTCTACCTGCTGTTCCTCTTCGGGCTTAGGTCTTGTCCTGAACTTCTGATGCTTTTTCCTTTCCTTGGTTCTCTCCCTGATCACCACCAGCTGTTGTTCTCGCTTGTCCAGCAACGAGCAGAGGTGATTCAGTTGCTGAAGTTCCACCTGCTGCTCACGGGACTCACTCTGGGCACTGATCCAGTCCTCCTCCTGGGCACTGGCTGCCTGCAGGCGGTCCAGCTTCTTTTCCACTTCGACGATGCGCTGTAGCAGCTCAGAGCGAACCAACTCCTCATGCTGGCGCAGCCAGGTGAGGGCCCCGCATGTTAGGGTCAGGGATTTACCAGTGCCCGTGGGGCTCTCGAAGATGCCCACCTGTCGGCGCTCCAGCACCGAGAAGAGCTCCTGCATCAGCTGCTCCTGGATGGCGTACGGGGCGAATGGGAAGCCAAAGTCGGAGGCTCCGGGCGTGGCCAGGCACTGGCGCGGCGAGTATTGGGCCATGTCCGGACTTACATTTTCCCTAAGGTGAAAAACAAAATGTCGCGCCAAGACCAAAACAGCAACAATGCGGATGCGGGTGCGGTAGGCAGTGTGACCACGGATTTATCGTTAAAATATATCGTCCAACCCTCAGAAAAATTCCGTTTGATTTTAAAAATATACCGTAAATATACTGACGAATTCAAGTTCTATTATACGTATTCATCGATTTTGATATTCCGTAGAAAATTACTAGCCATTGAGATCTTCCGTCGAATATTACAAGCTATATAGATATCTCAGCTTTGCCCACTTAAAGTTATCCCATTGACAAATACATTTTTACAAGGTTAACTACTTTTAAGTTCTTGCATGTATTTTATTTTGGCTTAAACACTAAAAACAAAAAAATACCGTGAGCGGTCACCCAGGCGGTTGTTCAATATATATATATTCATATATTGATATATGAATAAATTTATAGTTTTTTTTAAAAATCGAACAGCCATAGGATGCGGCGTTCATCCATAGCAATGCCTTAGGGCTTTTTTTCAAAACATCAAATCGAAAGTTATAGTATTTTTTTAATCTCTATTCAGAAGCTATGGAAAATTGTCTATAAATTTAAATTAACTAATATATTATTAATTATATTTATTATTTATTTATTATTCTCACTTGATTTTCATTTTGGTAGTGAAACAACAAGTAAATTAAAAAAACGACATACACAGGCGATTCATAATAAAGTTTATTTTTCTCCAGTTCGAGCACTCTTTTTTTTGGCGCCAACTATTTTTCTGGTTAAAAGTATCGAATAAAAGTAAAAAAACCGGAGATTATCCGTATGAGTAATTGTTATGTTAATCTGTTGGGCTTGGTAATATTCAAAAAAAGAACATAAACAAATTTATTGATTGCGAATTAATGTGCATTAATTTATTAATTGGCGTTAATTGGTTTTTTGTAGATGCCTAAAATCTCAGCCGACGCCGCCGCAGAGGCACATTAAACGCCATTTCAAGATGGCGGCCACGGCTGCGAAAGGGTATGCGCGAGTTTCGAGAAATTTCAGGTGTTACGTGGATCCATATCCATTGGAATTAATATATTACCCTCGTGTTGTCCCGTTCTCCCGTTCACGTGGGCGTTGCACAAACAAAAGGTCGAGCTTTGCTCACGGGCCGCCACCAGCAGCCTGACCTTCTGCTGCACCTCCATTGACCCAGTGACTGACTGACAGATTAACTGAGGCAAACTCTGATTGACGGGCCTGCATAATGCCCGCGATCGTGCCACTACAACTCATCTCTCTCCTCAACGTACAACGTGTTACCTGTGCGTCCTGCCCCACGCCTCCCGCTGGTGTTTGTTACGGACCATTTGGTGAGACAAAACGCTCTGCCATCAACGTGAGGCATGTTGTAAGTATGTAAATTGTACATGTGTGCGTCAAGAATGTGCGTCAAGTGCAGACACATTAATCACACGCGTGCAACGGTTGCACACGCAGGAGGGAGATAGGGGGGGGACAGCAGACAGCTGCTGCCCATGCGCGCGCCCATTCTGATATATTTTGTGACCCTGAAATAATGTCTGAAATTATTTTCGTGGTTATCTGTTGAAAACTAGAGAATTTCTAGGAAAATATAAAGATCATCATTTCAGGATAGAATACTCTTTAGAATTGCAATAATCCCAAGATTCGTATAGGTTTTTTTGGATTCGGCCTTCAGATTACGTTTCCTTTCGCTGCTCATACACACATATTGGAAGACCCCACAGGAACACTGCCGCAGATGCATAGCAGTTTCCATTGAATTTTTCCATGTCAATTTAAAGTTGCCAATCCGGGCCAAATCTCCATGCATGAGTGGGACAGACTTGAGTCGAGCATCGGGACATTTCGCCAGTCCAAAGATTAGGCGCACAAATAGTATATAAGAAGTTTAAGTGATTATTTAAATGACCTGAGAGTCCCTAAAAGATTTTTATAGGAGTTTCCCTTGTGAATTTGGAAAATATTTGCGAATCTATGTTTTTTCAAAGAAAATAGTTTTAAGAAGTTGCAAAAGGTTTTTTGAATAAATAAATGGTTTATTTTTAATGCCCGAAGAAGCGGCAGACACAACGTTGATGAGAAGTTCCTTTAATGATCTCCAATGAAAAGAATTTATGTTTAAACACGCTAAAAAGGGGAGAAACCAAGTTTGGAAGACGTTAATTGAATGATCTCCAATGAAAATAGTTGATGTTTAATGACAAAAGAAATCATGCCTGTATCATGCAAACTTCTGCATTGTGCATTTTTCAAAACTCGATTGCTTTCTCGAATAGAAAAGGTTTATTTTATGTATAATTTTTTGCCTTAGTTTTAATAAAGATTCCTTATGTGTGTTTGATAATATGCACCAGGTCCATTAATTTAGAAGTTTTCCGAAACGCTTTCCTGATTCAATTTCAAATATTTTGCAGATACTGCACTCCACCTAATGATGGTGAAATTTCCATCCTGCTGTCCAGTGCCCGACCTGGCCATGCCTTTCAATCTCGACACGACCTTCAGTCAGCGACTGTCTTATTGACTGAGTCACCGACCGACTGACCGACCGACCGACCGACCAAGAGCACCAAGAGCCTCGGAGCAGGAGAACCTTGGCAGACAGCAGGTCGACGTTGATGGTCAGAGGCGGTGTGCCGCGCTGTGGTGTGGGGCACTGACTGTCGCTAATCTTGAGCCTTTCGGCCCCCGAAAGACTTTTCCCATTTATCACAATCGCACTTGTCGTTGTTTTTGTGGCTTTGGTGGCATAATTTTTCACTTAACGCACGACTATAAATACCCCATGCTGCAACACATGTAAGACTCTATCTAAATTCAAATACAAACACGATTGTGCCTGTGCCTGTGCCTGTGCCTGTGAACGTACCAGTACCTGTGACTGTACGGTGTGTTTCTGTACTGTGATTGCTAATAGTTAACTCAATGATAATGCGTTTTTGTTTTTATTTATTGCCGATATTTTATGCGATTAAATGCCATAATTTATCAGAGCAGTGCTCGCTCGGATCGGTTCTTTGGCTCGTATTTCAGTTTTCGTATATCACAGATTTCTTGGACATTGAAACGGTTCACCCTGATGACGCTTAGCGCGATATCTCCTCCATTGGTTCTTCAATCATATTCTACTTAAAGAAAGTCTACAATCTGTTTCTTACGTGTAGGTCCTGCAGGTGCTGCCGGCAGACCCCCGCGGTTGATTAGAGTTTCTGTCTTCGCTTGAGGGCATCGGAACTCAGGATTAATGGAACCCTAAGCCTTATCGAACCCTTAAGCCTACAAAGACTGAGCCTGCAACCGTTAAGGGGCTGAAGTATTTTTAGTAGGATGACTAACTGCAGAGCCGGATGCTGTATAGTAAGGGCTAGCAAGAGGCTCCCATCGAATCATCGCCCATCGAATTGGTGACCCAATCTATGACACATTTTGCATTGAGAAGGATTTGGAGGCATGTTCTGTTGTTTTGTTCTTTTTGTTATTACTGTTATGACATTCAATAAGCAATTAGGCATTAATCATGGCCGGGGGGAGCATTAATCACCCAAGCAGCAGCAGCCTCCAGTCCCAGCCTCAATCTCAAGCGCCGCAGAAACGATCGAGCCTTCAACTTATGCATATGAGCAGCAGAGCAGCAGAACAGAAAGCCAGCAGCCAGAGGGATGGTGGGGCCTGCTGCCTCCAACTGAACAGTCACTGATCGCACACCCTCGGGTAGACAGAAAGAGAGATCCCAGGCTTGCAAGAGAGACACAGCGTAGCCGAGAGAGAGAGAGAGAGAGAGAGAGAGAGAGAGAGAAAAAGAGACATGATGTCATCGTCTGTTTATAAGTCAGCCGCGTCAGCGATGCAGATCAGGTACGATCGGTGATCGGGCGATCGGAGCGGAGCGGATCGTGGTTCGTGGCAGAACCAAACGATTGTCCCACGCCCACGCCGAGCCACGCGCCAAGAACGAAAATAATCTCGGGTAAATAATCAGAGGCAGAGGCAGAGGCAGGTCAGGTTGGAGGTTGGGTCCCCCGCCTGGTGCAGGCCCCCAGGGGCCAGATGACGTTGTTCGGACAGTAGCCGACAGATCGATCGTCCGATGGAAACCATAGAGTTTCATCCCAGAGGAAAGACTGAGTTTTTTGGATATTAAATTTGAGTTTTTATTGTAGTTCTTTTATGTGGTTTCTGTGTGTGATTTCGGTTCTGGTCGGATCGGATCGGATCGGTTCGGAGATGGATTACAGAGACAGTTAGAGATATACAAGATACAGTTACAGTTACAGTTAAGTAAGAGTTACAGTTACAGTTACAGCGACAGTTAGAGATACGGATACAGGATACACATTGGAGCTGCGTTTTGTCAGGGTTTGCATTATAGTTTATCAGTTACACATGGGTTTCTGTTTTTTGCTTGATTGGTTTGGATTGGATTGTTCCTCTTTTTGCTCTCTTCTTATATGTAGTAGTAGTCGGCTAGATCTATTTCCCGTACGGTTTTGCTCTGGTCAAAACCACACAAATAACATCTGGGACTCTCTTTTCAAATAACAACACTCTCTCTTTATCGTCCTTTCTTTCTTTCTTTCTTAGGGGTTCTCTTTTTTTTAGCACAGTTTGTGGGAGTTTTCTTTTTGTTTTTTTTTGCTTGTTTTTTCTCTTGTGGGGCTGGTGGTGGAAAGACAGACACATATATTACATTGGATCTTTAACTTTATATATCTTTTAAATATCTTTAAGCAATATACATATGGCTCTATAATCTATACAATCAATGGGAAGTTCTTTTGGGTGTTCGGTGTTCTGCGGTTCTGCCTGCAGCTGGTACTCTATGGGGGAGGGGCTCTATGTTTAAACACTTAACCAACACTGATCGCTATCGCATATCGATATTTATCGTGGATCGTTAAATTTGTTATGTCCAGGTACTTTTGTAGCGCTTTCTTTTGTTACAACAAACAGCAAACAAAATCGTTCTTGTGTGTAGCCTACAAACTAAAAGTTAGAGAATGAAGTCAAGGTCCAGTTCCAGGTCAGAGGTCAGTATCCAAAGGTCTGTGGGTAAGTCGTTGAGGTGAAATGAGGTGATGATTCTGATTCTATTTCTGATGATGCTATATGTCTATTCTTCCTCTCCCCCTCATTTCGCAGCTGTAGGCAGACCCCAAAACGCATACAAAACTCAGCATATTTTTAGGCCATATATGTATGTCATATTATATGTATTATATGTATTCTATGTATTAGATATCGATTAATAATCGAAAAACAAAATAAACAAATGGGTACAAAAAAAAAAGAAAACAATTTACAAGCGAAGAACTCTTTCCTCCACATCCATCTTCTGGGAGGGGTGTTTATCATGGGCTGATCATGGAGTTTTTGATTGCATAATAGCCATTTATAGTTACGATTTTACAGCTTTGCATTACATTTACAGTTTACAGTTTAAGTTTACAGTGTGGTTTTACAGTTAAATTTAACATTGCCGAGGTAGGCAGCTCCTTCCACTCGCTACACCTGAGAGTCTGTTTCTGTTTTGGTTGGAAGCTTGGATCAAAGCATAATATCGTATGTGGGCGAGTGGAGCGGTCGGAGTCTCTGCACTGATCCTCTATATAGGGTTTTGTGTGTCGTGTGTGAGGTAAAGTTTTTGCTTAATTTCAAATGTTCTCAGGTAACTCTCTTCCCATTTTCGAACACTCCTTCGCTTCGGGAACTGGGGGAAAGTCATGACTCCTTTGGATGCTCTAACAATCAAACCTATTCAAGGCAAATAGGCTGGGCACAGGGGTGGTGTGGGTGTACAAAGGTTCATTGTTAATGGTTCAAGGCTCAAGGTTCAAGGTTCAATGGTGATATATGTATGTATGTATAACATTTATGGTATAGGTACAACTAGAGAAAGGCGTGTGCAGAGCTCTGTTAAACATTTACATATGGTTGTAGACATAGATATTGGTATTTTTTTTTCATATATAGTAATATATAAATATTAGATATAGTTGTTTCTTTTTTGTTTATCGGTTATTCTTTAGTACAAATCGAGGCAATTACAATTACAAATTACAAACAAAGCACTTTTTCTTTTCTTTTCTGTTCCGTTCTTTTTTCTATCTGTGTGGGTATATGATCTTGCTCCTTTAGGCCACTTTTTGGTGTTCACAGCTGTTTTGTTTTATACACATGTAGAACCTTGCATATGTATTAAATCTGTATAAAGGTATAACGTTTTTTTGATCAGGCAATAGACACACACAAATATACATAGGTATATGCATATATAAATGGTACAGGCATCATATGGTCTCCTATATGTATATCCTATATATAGTATATATAATAATATATCATTTACAAAAAGTTTCACATTTGTTTTTTCTTTCTTTCTTTCATTAAACTGTAATAAGGCGCAAGTTTTGAAGGATTTTTGCAGTATTTAGCAACACTTAGTGGTCATCGAAGTATTCGATCGTTCTATAGACTACAAGTATACCTCTTCATCTTCCTCTCTCTCTCTCTCTCTCTCTCTCTCTCTCTTCCGCTTCCGCTCATTGCATGTATATATAGTTTTTAATAATCATTTTTGTTTGTAGATTAGTTGTTTTTGTTGCAAAAGAATTAACAAAGTGTTGGATTAGTAATTTAGTTTTTTGTCAAATAGAAAGTTTTGTTTTTTTATTTAAAATTTTGTTCTTTTTTTTTTGATTAAGGCAACATTTTGTTTTTGTTTTCTTGTTTTTTTTGTTTTTTTTTTTTTGTTTTATCATTAAAGTTAGCTTACAAAATATGGACACAAAAAAAAAACAAAAATGTATATATCGTACATGTATATATATATATCGACTGTATATATAGGGGTTGTTTTTTATCACTGACTAAGGCTAGAGTGTTTTTTAGACAAAAAAATATCAAACGTCGTCAAATATATCGCATGCGCTTTCCGAATCGAAAAAACATCCTTCTCGTTCCTCTCGTTAATCTCTCTTTTCATGTGAATATATATAAATGTTTTATAACTTGTAAGGCATTTCGTTTAAGGATCAAAGGACCAAGAAAATCAAAGGACAAACGCTTAGAGAATGGAGGAGGAAATTGAACAAAAATTAAAATTAATAATTACTGATGCGGATGTGTGTGTGTGACTGCTAGCAGTTGATCACTGCTCTCTCCCTCTCCCTATCTCTCTCTTTGCTCTCTTACGCTTGCAATGGAATGTTATCGATTTATCTCGTATCAAAAAAGTTGGGTTATGTACAATTATGCAAGTGATTCTCTCCTCTCTAACTGCTACTCCTACTCTCCTACTCCTCTACTCCTCTCTCGTTCACTCTCCCTAAAACTGATTGTTTAATGATAGGTTTAAAGTGTTAATTAAATTGTTTTCTGTTTTCTGCTTTCTTTGCTTCATGAGGTAGTCAAGCCACAGGCTGGACGCCGCTCCAGGCGGACATACACGATGGGGGATCAGGGTTTTGGGGGGTATTCGAGGCTTAGGGGCATGGGTTATCAGGGGTACTCTGCTGTTTTTATTTCTGGAAGAACTCGGATCGATTAACGGCGGGAAAAAGGCATCATTGGGAATTAGGGCGGGGAAAAGGTGTCAAAGGATTATTGTTTGGGGGATAATTTTAGGGGACAATTTAGGGGTACTTTGAGGGAAATTCAAACAGAGCTTCAAGGACATTCAAAGGGGTAATGTTTCAGTGCGTCCTTGGGGACTGCGGCTTCAGCTTTTCTATCTGTTCTTCTGCTTAGTCGATGAGTAGCATCTAAAAAATATACATCAAGGTACAGGATCCAGCACCTAACACCAATAATCCACATGTGTCCAGGCTGGATCCTCCTCCTCGTCCAGTTCCAGCTCCATTTCCAGCTCCATCTCTACATCCTGCTGCTGCTGCGGACTGCTGCTCGGCCTGTGCGACGACGACGACGACTGCTGCTGCTCCCCCTCCTGGCCACCATCCTGATCGAAGGCCAGTAGCAGGAGATCGCGATCGCGATCGGGATCACGTTCGTGTGCGTTTGCGCTTGCCGGTGCCGATGCCCGCTGGGCCCGCCCTCACGCCAGGCAGCCCCCATTGGTCAGGAAGGCAGCGGCACCGGTATCCAGATCCACATAGTCCGTGCCATCGCCCGCCAGTTGGGACAACAGATCGTTGGAAAAGCAGCTGTTCTTCATCAGCAGCAGCTGTTCGTCATCGTAGCAGGAGGGCGTCATCACCCCAACGCCCACACCCACGCCCACGCCAAGGCCATTGTTCTGGAGGCCGTGATGAAAGTCCACCAGGAGGTTGTTGTTATTGTTGTTGTTATGGTGGTTGTGGCAGATGTGCTGGTTGTTGTGCTGGTGTCCTGCCGCTCCTCCCCCGCCACTGTTTGCATGGACAACACTGGCCATATTGAGGCTATTGATGTCACTGGTGGGCAGGACACTGACGGCATGCTTGATGTCCGGAAAACCGTCGCTCGGCTCGAACAAGAAACGCTCCGCACTGAGGGCCGTGGTGTAGGGACTCTGCGCGTCCACCAGTTCGTTCTTCACGAACTCAATGGCGCTGCTGGTGGGCGTTGAGGCGGCCGAGCCGGTCTGATTGCTGCTGCTGTTGCTGCTCGAGGAGCTGCTGCTGGTTGGTGTGCTGGCAGGCAGGAGTGGCAGTGGCAGTGGCAACGATGCTAGACCCAATGCCAGGCTGAGGCCATCGCAATTGGGGACGTAATCGGATACCTGCTGATTGCTTACAACGAGGCTGCTGCCATTGCTCTGCTGTTGCTGTTCGTTGCTGCTGGCGGGATTCATGGGTTGTTGATGCAGCTGTTGCTGTTGCTGTTGCTGTTGCTGCTGGTTGGGAGAACTGAGGTATCCTGCATGCTCAAACTCCTGGGGACTGGGTGACGGCTTGCAGTAGCCATTGGGGAGCTGCTGCTGCTGCTGCTGTTGCTGCTGTTGCTGGACCTGTGCTGCCGCTGCTGCTGCTGCTGCCATGGCCGTTCTCTTGGAGCCAAACTTAAATGTCGCCATCGATGGTATGCTCATCCTTTGCGAAGACGAGCTGCTGCTCGACACCGAACCAGAGCCAGAGATGGAACCCGAGCCCGAGCTTGAACCAGAGATGGAACCCGTGAGGTTGACCTCCGATGACGACTGGCCCTCGAGCTCCAATTCCGGGAAATACTTCTGTGCAGGCGACTGTAGCAGAGCGGCAGGCAGCTGGCACCCGCCGGTCCTTAGGCAGCCCTGGGACATGGCATTCGCGTGATTCTGGAGCATCTCCAGCAGCTTGCGGCGCTCCGTTTCGAGGCTGCGCACCTGCTGCTTCAGCTCCACGTTCTGGGTGTCCAGCACCTCCGACTCCTTGATGAGGTTCTGCGTGCGCTCGCGCTTCTTCATGCGGCACTTGGTGGCCGCAATCTTGTTGCGCTCCCGGCGCCTCCTCCGCCGATCCTCGTCTTCGGGCGTGAGGCCCTTGGGCGTGGACTTGGTCTCGCTGTCCTCATCCTCGCTGGACTCCTCGCAATCGTCGTCGTTCAGACTGTAGCTGTGGCTGGTGTTGTTGCAGTTGTTCATGCTGCTGCTGTTGTTCATGCTGCTGCTCCTGCGGGAGCACTTCGATTGGGGCTGCTCCGAGCCGCTACTCGAGTCGCAGGTCGAGAGCTTGCGCTTGCTCTGGATGGCCAGCTTCAGGCCGGTTTTGATCAGCTGCGACTTTGTCTGTGAACGAAACAGAGGGAACAACGAGTGCGGGTTAGAGCGGGTCTTTTCAAACGTCCTTCGTCCAACACAAATTGTTGTCTTGTCACCAATCGCCATATCGGTTAGGCGACGCCAAAGAAGGCAAAAGCATTGCTCAAGCAACTCTGACCGACCCCCCTCCCCCCCTGGGGCAGACAGACACACAGATAGGCACGCACATTTGGAGGCCTCACTCTTTGGCATTTCGAGATCTCTCGCAGAGGCACACACTTCTCTGGGGGACTCCCCCACACCTTCACCCACTGCGGCAAAGCCAACCCCGATAGAAGATTCTCCTTCGGCCTAAGAAAGCCAGAGACACATTCCTATGGCAGAGCTAAGGGTGATTTCTATGGGCAAGAGGGAGAAACTTCCCTCTCCTGCCAAGCCACTCTGTGAGAGAGAGAGAAAGATCTATGAATGATCTCTACAGCAAAAGAGAGAGGCGAATGATGCGACTGAGTTATACGAAAAAAAGAGACCCTCTGGATAAGCGTAACTCCTTTTCATTGGTAAGTTCCTCTGTGAGAGAGGTAGAAGGGGCGATCTATGGCTGACCTCTACGGAAATGAGAGCACCCCTCGCTCAAGATAAATGATTCACATGACTCGCAATCATTCGTTTAATCTTATCGGTCTCTAGGTGTCTCCACACACTTCTGGCGATTTCTTGAGTAATCCCAGCCGATCCTTTCGGCTGGTGGGGAGAGATCGACACAGTTTTCTCGAGAGCACTCAGGCCTCAGGCCTCAGGCCTCAGGTAGCGATTCGCCATGTGACGAATCGAATCAACACACACGAGACAGAGATTCGATTCCGTTGACAGCTGTGGTCGCATTCCCCCGTTGCGTCACACATTGTGGCACGATTTCTCGTGGAGGGGCAAGGTCTGGGTCTGTGCCTGTGTCTGTGTCTGGGGTCCGAGCTCTCTGGATCTTGCACTGCGATAATCTTTATTTTTTAGCGGCATTTTCTTTGTTTTGTTTTGTGATTTACACAGACGACCTTTTCTGTTGCGATTTTGGGTTTAGGGTTTGGTTTTCGGTTCTGTTTTCGGGCCTTTTTTGGCATGAATTATAAATATGAATTTAAGTGAAAAAGATAGAAATCTGCGACATGCCCAAGGGCCACGCCCTAGTCTCTGGCCCCGAAAACAAAATCTCTCCCTGGCCTCTCTCCCTCTCTCTCTCTCTCTCTCTCTCTCTCGCTGGAAACAAGTGCAATCGGCAGAGCAGTGGGTGGGCCGCAGCCACAAAACAAAACAAAACAAAAACAAAAACCTCGTCAACAAACTTGCACTCTGGCTTTATGGAGTGGAGGAGATCCATTTATGGCACAGCCCCAGAAGCAGCAGCAGGAACAGATGGTCATCACTCCGCACATTGTCAACGGATCTTGAGCGGGAGGTTCGGGGTTCGTTTTCGTTTTCGGTTCGACATGTGGAATAATTGCTCCGCTGCCGTCGCCGGCATAGCCCCTGGTCGCCCTCCTCCGACTGCCAGATGCCCTCCAATGCAAGCGGAAAACCCCAAATGAAAACCCTTTAGAGTTTCCTTCACCCTCCACCGTTCGCCCTTTTCTGTCAAGCTAGAGGAAGAGTGCAGGTTGTACTGCCAAGATCTGTGTGTTAAGCCACTCTGGGAGAGAGCGAAAGCTCTGGGGCAAAGATGTTGCCCCATGGAGAACCTCCTCAAATGATAGACCAGTGCTCTACGAAGATGCAACATGCGGGACTTAATCAGGGGACTCCAAAGTGGAGTTCTGGCTCCCTCGGACCCCACTCTTTTTGGGACCATCTTCTCAATCTTCAGCTCATTGAAACGTCGACCAGGCGGCACGCAAGTCGGGGGCTCTCCCTCCCCAGGCAGCGGCCCCAATATTTTGCGCATATTTTTTTGTCCGTTTGTTTGTTGTCTGCTCGAGAAATTGTTCAGATGCCACTCGGCGCAGTGCCCGCCCTACTTCTGCCCTTCCCGCGAGTTCGATTTCGATTTCGATTTCGTTTGGCTTCTGTTGCTCGTAATTTTCGGGGGCCGCTTGCGGAGGTACACTGTTCGATGTTCATTTGAATTTTAGGCACGCTGTGGCCGCCTTATTTATTGACCCAGAAATCAGATAAATAAATTGTGTGTTTAAAAAGCGACGAAGTCAAAAAAAGAGCCGCAATCATAATAATAATCGCATGCGCCAGCCGCCAGCCGCCAGAAAACCGAAACTGAATCTGAATCGGAAACTGAATCGATGACCATATGGTCGTCGTGGCCAAGTCTCTTGTTGTGCAACACTGCCCGTTCAGTCGGGCAGGTTGGAGGTGGAGCAGCCACCGCTCTCTCTCGCTTCTTTCTCTGACAGACACTCGACAGTAGACCATCCCAAGACGAGCCTTTCTTTGCCAAGAGTCCACGTTTTTTGGGGCTCTCGTAAATTTGCATTTTGTTTGGTCTGTTTGCACTTTTGCACATCGTCTCTCGTCTCTCGTCTCTCGACCCCAAATTCGTTTCAATATTTGCAGTACTTTTTAATACATTTACTGTGCATTTTTTTCGGCAACATTTGTGCAAATATTTGCACTGCAGAGCCAAAGGAGGGGGCGAGGCGAGGCGGGGCGGGGCGGGGCGGCTCTTCCACAGAAAGTTCTTGACTCGAACGGATGTGCACGGGATATCCTGCATGTGGTACTCAGTGAAAGAGCTGACTGAAACCGCCGAGGGGCGCTGCTGCATGCCGCGTGAAACGTGCCATTAATCAGTCGTTAATTGAATTTCAAACGAATGGTAAACGATTAGGAGTCTAATGAGAAACAAGTTTTCCCCCACCCAGCCCCTCCACAGCCTTAACGAAGAGAATGAGAGGAGTATCTGCACAGAAAAGGGCTCGATAATTTATGGGAAATTTGTTGGAAAACAAATTGTGAAAAGTGCGCCACGATTCGAGCCACTCGTCCGGCAATTAAAACTTGCGCTGCCTATAAATTCGTTTGAAGTAATAATCATAAATCACACACAAAGATACAGATGCACAGTTACAGATACTAATACTGGGGATACACAGACACTCTTCGTCATCTCTCGCTCGCTCCCTCTCTCTCTCTCTCTGTCTGGCGATGCCACCTGCCAATTAGTGAGAGCGGAATGCGGGATGCTGTTGCTGTTGCTGCTGCTGCTGCTGCTGGATGGATGGATGGATGGATGATGCGTCTGACGATCGCATCGATCGTCGCATCTAATTGCAGTCTGGTGCCGCAGCAAGTGTTTTATTCATTTGAATTAATCGTTGACACCCAGCAGCGGCGGCCCCCCTTCTCCCGTTGGTTACGGGCCTCATTAAGGCCAATGTCAGTCGTTAGTGGAGAGTGAGAGATACAGATACCCGTACGAACGAACAAAAAAGATACTGGAGATGCAGCACCGAGATGCAGATACTCCGAATGCCGCCGCAAAAGTGAAATCAATTCTCGGCGCTGCGTTTCGCAATTGACGCCCACACGACGTCGCAACGTGGAGCGTAGAGGCAGGGGCAGGGGCAGGGGCAAATGCTCACGTTAAAGTGCATGTCAGTGGAAGCAGAGGTGGAGGTGGGTGACGCCGGCCAATGGCCACGAGAGTGCGTGGGCTCCGGATTTTGCACGGCGTGCGCGGCGGCAGTCGGCGTGGGCGTGGGCGCGGACGTGGGCGTGGGCGATGCGCCACAACCAGTCATCCATTCTCGTGCGTCTCTCATGAATGAAACGACAAATTGAACCAAATAGAATGAACAGTTTTGTTCTTTTGTCGGAGATAAAGATACAAATTGGGCAGAAGTACTGGGAAGTATTGGGCAGAATATACTGGTAGTCGGTCCCGAATCTGAATGAAATCTAGAATCAGATTGATTTCAATTTGCATCCAAATCCTGCAAAAAGCCTCAGCACGAGAGCCTCAGCAATGTGCAGGAAAATTGGGGAACAATTGAAGCTCTAAGGCCCAACAGAGGGGCGCTGCTGCACGACTGAATATAGGACAAAGAAGAATCAACCTTCACTCAGGCCTTACCTGTTGCATACTGGGCATGGTGGCAGTCCCACCCGCTGGCGAATCAAGCGGCGAGGCCGAGCAACTGGAATGACTGCTGTCCTGCGAATGCAACTGCAATGGAACACACAGAGGGAGAGATACAAAATTGAGTATACGTGGCGTGGAACGTGGAGGGACATTTGGGGCTGGACACTCACCTGTCCATTGGTTGGATGGCCATTGAAGTTCCTGACACTGACGACGGGCGTGGAGGCGGCGGATGAGGCCGAGACTGCCGCAGAGACGGCAGCCGCAGTGGCAAAGCTATAGTTGTCCAAGGGATTGGTCATGGCGATCAGGGAGTTGAGGATCTCGGGGGTTTTGGGGGTGTGGGCGCCCAGATTAAGGCCGCTGCTCTCGATGCTGAGCAGCGAGGCGGCGGGTATGTTTGAGTTGAACATGGTTTCGATTATGGGTTGTTTGGTCAATCGATTATATGTGTGCTATCGTTTGTCCCCTATCGGTTATCGTTGAACGTTGATCGATGGAAGCGAAAACAAAAACTAAACTCAAAAAATTAAACTTAAAAATTGCACAAAAACCGCACAACACACTTTCGATTTATATCTCTTCTTGTTTATCGATATATCTTCGAAGTATATATCGCTAAATATCGTTATATCTAATTATTAATGTGCTCTCTTTTATTTTTTTTTTTTTTTTTGTTTGTTGTATGCTTAAATCACAGTTGAAGGCCTACGCGTTGCATTTGTTGGACTGCTTATTGTTTAAACAATTCTCTCTTTTCGCTTTTGTTTTTGTTGTTGTTGTAGAATATATATATATATATATATATATATATCAGATGTACTATATATATATCGAATATAGTATTTTGGTCCGACACTCGCGGGTGTCCACTGTCTCTACCCCAATCCTCTCTCTTCTCTTCTCTTCTGTTCTGTTCTATTCTGTTCTCTTTTCTGTTTCTCTTCTCTTTGTTGTTTTGTGTTTGTTTTGTTTGTGGGGAAATTATCACACATATATATATTTAATGTTTTGGGGGTTCTTTCACTTGTAGTTAGGACTGTTCCTGGCTCTGTCTCTAGCGGAGATTTGTGGTTCCATCATCATCATCATTGCTGGACTTCTGGTTCCTGCGGTACCATCCGATCTCTGGGGGGGCTCTGCTCTGTCGTGTTGTTGCTCAGAGCGTGGGGCCCGTACGAATGCGTTGAATGTCGAACAGCCGGCGGTTTGACAGCGAATCTGCAAGAAAGAGAGAGCAAAACAGAGAGAGAGAGAGAGAGAGAGTGAGTGAGTGAGTAAAGAGTGAGCAAGGGAGAGAGAGAGTACGTGTACGTGTACGTATAAACAAAAGCAATTAAATTATAAAGTAAACTCAACTAAATTGATTTATGTAAGTCCCAGTACGAGTCCCCGGGTCCGAGAATCACATTTCACATTTCGCGAATCTCGGATCACGGATCTCGTGATTGATCACGCACCCCGAACACTCGCTGCATGCGGCCGCCTCTATTGGGAGACGCCTCAATTAACGTGCCCCGTTAATCGTTTAATTAAGACCAGGCACACTTTTGCCACAAAATGCAGCTCGGGGCTGCATTCCTCCTTGCGGGTTTGGCCACTCCGAGAGGTGAAGGTGAGAGACACAGAGAATAATAGGAATTCCAATTGAAACCGAATCGAATTGAATTGCAATTGAAGGCAATCATCCGTTGAATTCATTTGACTCCGAAGCACCTCTCCAGGCAGGCAGAAACAGCAGCGCCGCTGCAGCTGCGCCTCAACCCCAAAAAGGAAAGAGAGATCTCAGAAATGGGAACTAAGAGAAGAAAAAGAATACATAGATCGTGTCTCGCGTCAGGCATCCATCCATTTGAATGGGCATTTCAAGGAAAGAGGTAACAAATTAGAGCTTCTACTGAATAACACACAGTTTTCGCAATGGAAAACAAAGTTCTGAAACTAATGAAAGATTAGTTCACTCCTAAAGAAGAAAGAACACGCAGCAGTGGCCCTCGGTCGGCGACATTCCTCAGTGATAGATCATCTCATTGAATGGAAGTTTCAAGGAGAGGAGCGACCCTTCACCATGTAGAAGGACAATAGATCGTGTCGTGCAGCAGCACCCCTCGGTCGGTCAAGTTTTTTACCAAAAGGAGGAAGGAAAGGGGCAATGGGAAGGGACCTGCATGGAGGAAAGTAAGAAAGAAAGAGCCTTTTCCTGTTCCGATCGGATTATTGCAATCCCTAGATGGTTTTTCTCGAAAAAGTGAGAGATTTCTAGCTAAAAATTAACCTAAGAATGGGTCAAACTTTCAATAAAGATCGAATATCCATTTATACCGGCCCTCTAGGGTATTCCCCCAGTTCTTATGCATATCAACTCCATTTCCAGTGCGTTGTGGAATTTCGCTTGCGGTTTTTCGCAAATTATGGAACTATGATAATCAGAGAGGAGCAGGCGACTGACGGCCAGCGGTCGATGTCGATGTCGATGTCGATCTGTGGATCTGAGGGGACGACTCTTGTGGTTAAATTTTTTGGGGAGGTGGGGGGTTGGTACTGCCTGCCTGCCTGCCTGCCTGCCGCTCAAAATGCAAATTGAGGCTGTCAAAAAAACTTCAAAAGCGTATGGGGGCCATAATCCAGAACACAAAAATCTCATTTTTGTGTTGCTGTTTGCTGTTTGCTGCCCCCTTGACTCATTTATCATATGGCCAGAATTGTGTGTGTGCGAGAGACATGCTCTATAAGTTTTACCCTCTATCCCCGAGCACCCTACACCTCTCTCTCTCTCTCTCCCTCTCTCTCTATCCTGTGGCAAGCCCCAAAAGTCAGTCAACAGCCAAACAACGAACGAAATAAGCGAACAACAAAAAATAAAGTCAGAATAAAGAATTATGATTTATGACTTTCGCATGTTTCTCTCGTCTCATACCCTGGACAGAGTGCTGCCGAGGGCAGAGGGAGGGCATGATGGTTTCCATTGCCGTTTGGCAACACTCTTCTGCTCCGGGGCGGGGCTAAATCTATATCTAAATATCTGTTTTATCTCCCATAAGTACTGCACTTCTTCTACTGCATTTCTTCTTAGAACCTGTAGCGTGTAGGGTATCAAAACCTTTGTATGCCCAAAAATCAGTTTTTCTTTCTTTTTTGCTTTTGTTTTTGTTTTTGGGGCTTTAAACTTTGTTTTGTGAGAGAGCTTTTAATGCCTTCACTGCAGCCTTTGATGTTTGTGGCTGTTTGCTGCTGTTTCTGCGGCTGTTTCTGCTGCAACGAAAATCACTTTTGACATTCGCCTCACAAAACGTTTCAATTCGGTTTTTCGGTTTTTGGTTTTTTCGATTTTCGATTTTTGGTTTAACTTTTGGCTGTGCCTGTGCCTGTGGCTGTGGCTGTGGCTGAGGCCTGGCTCTGTCTGTCTGTGGCTCATTTTGACCAAATGCGGTGTACGTCAACGTCAGATGTCAGCCTGCAAACAGCAGCATGCGACAGCATGCGTGGCCTCCTCTGCGCCTTTTGAGGTCACGGCTAGGAGAGGGGACGACACCCCCAACCCCCCGCCCCTCCACCCGACTGTATGGATTTAAGATTGCGCATGCGCCACGTTGGCCCAGCAGGACGCCTGCCCCCTATCCCCCCCCCTCCCTCTCCATCTCTCTCTAATTCTCTGGGTGCTCTCGAGTGACATTCCATCCAGCAAATAAAGTCATTTGCGCGACTGCTGCGAGCCGCGATCTGCGGGCTCTGTCGCATGTGAATTGCCCTCAAGTGTGCAAGTTTTTGCCTCCGATTCGATCGAGAGGGAGAGAGGGAGAACAGACGACAGAGGCTTACGAAATGAATGGCTGTACTGAGCGGAGTTCCCCCATGAATATGCAATGGTGTTCGATATAAAGATGTTGTGCACGGAGGGAGCACAGAAAAAACCCATAAATAACAAAGCGAAACGATTTGTTAATCAAGTTATCAATCAAATATCGATAAATGTAATTGAATTTCATTGATTGTTCGCTGAAATGAATCTAAAATCGTATCGACACGTATCGATTTTTCAATCAGAAACCGATTAATGCTATGGAACTCTCTCATTCGTTTCTAATCAATTAGATTCAGATTTTAAGAATCCATCGATACTTATCGATTCATATCGATTTTTGCACTAAAACCAGACAAATTTAGACGTAAAATGTATCGATATCGATCGATAAAAGAAATAGCAGACATAGCAGCAAAAGGAATTGCATTTAGACTGACTCATCGTTCACTCATTCGTATTCATGAATGAGTAGGGAGGGAATGAGCAATGCCCGATTTCGCCTTAACCCAATAACGCGACTGCAACCAATTAACCCCATAAATATGAGAGGCACTCTGTGGTCACGTCTCCAAAAAAAAAAAAAAAAAAAATAGCCCGAAATGTGCGAACGACTAAGCGTAAGAGTAATCGACTAAACGGTGGCGAGTGACTCACGATCGAAGCGAATCGAATCGGTATTCAGTTTCGATAATCTACATATTCTACACATATTTTCCATATTCCCATTGCACAATCGGGCAGCACTACGCTAAACATAATGGCATGAAATTCAAATTCAAATCGGAATCGTTATCGGTATCGGGAGCGGGAGCGTCGTGCGCACATAATCCGCATGGCCTTTGCGGCATGTGCGGCGTCGTGCCATGTGAAAATCGCCGCATAAATACATTAAGTATTTGAGTTATTATATGCAAACGAGCGTCGTCTTCGTCGTCTATATATACATATATACTCGTACATATCGTATTGTAGTATCGTCTTAGCGGTACGTGCCTGAGTCGCACTCCACATTTCACACGAAAACAGCAAGCGAGCGTCTGAATGGAGCGGCAACGGACACGGACACGGACACGGAGACGATCGTCAAAAGGCGTTTTTGGCCAAAAGCGAAACAAAAGCAAATTGCATTTCAAGTGTTTTTCTGTGTGTTCCGCGACAGAGGAAGACGGTGGGGGGAGGGGGAGGAGGAGGAAGAGGGCGTTGGTCTGAGATATTTCCAAAAAGAAAAGCAAATCATCAACGAAGCGAAGAAAGTGGAGGAAGGCAGAGGCATACGAGTATGTGTTTGCAAAGGGTGCAACTAGAATATCTTTAGGGAGTATATTTCGGCACAAGTATCTTCGTCAAATGAGATACATTTGCTAACAACACGATATCGTATCGGTATCGATACGTATGTATCTCTCATATATGTGTACATATATTTGCATGTTAATGTATCTTAATCTCGATTTATCTATATTTATCTATTTATATTGATCTACCTCTGTCTTTTCTGTCTTCATACCTATTTCCATATATTTTGAGTCGAATGTATCTGCATCCCTAGTTATCTATGTGTATCTATCTACCTGTCTATCTATCTATCTTTATGTGGCATCTATTATGCACTTACTTCCATCGTGATATCTGTATTTAAATCTGTATCTTTATCACCATTTGGCAATGTATCTTCATCTTTATCTATGTTTATTTAACATCTTTCTTTATGTGGTACCTATTAAGACCTTTAATT